GAGATGAGAGGATGCTGGAGTTGACGTCAAGCTGGGCTTGGATGTGGCCTTGCTATCAACTACCTTACCGGTAAAGGTGAAGAGCCCAGCGGGCCCGGATTATATGCCTTTCTCTTGTGCTCTCCTTGCTTCAAATTTCATGTACCCCCCAAATGGTCAACATGACCTTGCCGATGTATATATCTAACCATGCCATGATCGCCTACCAATCCACGGCATATATCGGCTGGTTGCCTTTTAAAGGCTCGCGGCATCATATCATGTCAAATTCCCTCATTGTGAGCTTTCAAGTATTTATACATGAACAAAATTGAAGACAACTTTTTGTCGTTTAACGATGAGGCATGTCAATTGCCCTAGTATCATCACAACAAACCTAGTCACACAGCGGTCCAGACGCCAGGTCTAGAATAGCCTTGTACGCCGATATGACAGTCATTTCTTTATCAAGTGAACCTCAGACTCGATTTAAATAAATTTCTAAAATGCGGAGAGGTCAACCACTTCGCGTGTTGGCGCTCCTGTGTTTCTGCCCGTCCATCTCTTCAGGGTATTTATCCGATCCCGCTATCGCGACCCAATATTCATTCCTTTGACGCCTATCCAATGCATAACTCAAGCTCAGTTCATGGCCTCTAGGCAATACCGCAGCAACGATGACTACTCGTCGCTCTCGGCTTGGCTTCGACGTGACATCATTCTCCTTCGCCTCTCTTCTACAACCTCAGGGTCCCAAGTCCCTGCAAATATATCTTCACATTCATCGTCATCATCAGAATCAAATTCAATGTCCTCTTCCTCGCCATCCTTGCCTGGCGTGGCAGTCTCTGCAACATTCTCATCAATTGCATCCTCCCAGCTCCGGTACGTAACCACTCGTTCCATTTCGAGGATGAATTTCCCAACTTTGTACTTCTGGCCTTGTTCTTTAGCATCCACATACTTCCAGCCAAGCTTTGTTGAGCATGACCCGCAGTTGATGTCTGCAACGACATGCCATCCTGTCACAAGCTGGCGATTCTCGCTCTTACCAACTCGGATGTTGCTCAATGTCTGGGCCGCAGGAGGCGCAGGCGGGGCCACAAGAAACGCTCGACCGTACCGGCCGGTGAAGCCCTTAGATATGATCTGAGAGGCAAAAGCAACATCGACAGAGCATGTTGAACAACGAAGCGTATTCGGAGATGTTCGAGATAGTCGACCTCTAGGCGCTTTTGCAAGAATTCCATCGTTCGGGGGCGAGCTCGCCGGTGTTGTTACCGCTGAAGATGCGGCAGATTCTGCTGAACTCGAGGAGACCGAGTGGCGTCGGGAGAAGGGAAGCTTTATGCTGGGCAGTAAGAAAGCAGGAAAGACTGGCTTGGTAGCCGAGATGCCACTCTCGCGAACCATCTCGGCAATGGTCAAGTTGGGGCCTCTTTTGGAATTGCTGAGTGTAACGTCCTGGAAGAGATGGAAATGCCCTCTCGACTTTTTGGAACTTTCTATCGAAGGCTAGGGGGACCGATAAGGTGTGGGGAGTTGTTCCACTGAAGGCGCCAAGAGCTCCACAAGTGGCGCAGAGTCCTTCCAGATGTGATCTGGGAAGTTTTGGCTCTGTCGAATATGGTATTCGAGACAAAAACGTTGGAGAGAATATGGCGAAATGGCGCTGCGGTGTCGCGCCTGAGTTCACAAACGACGGCTTCTCCAGATGGGAGTTTCAAAGACAGTCCAGGAAGGGGAGAAGTTTAATATTACCTAGGGTGCAGGCAGTCATTTATTTGGTCACTCTCCCCGACTCAGCCGGGCAGCGATCACCAGACTTACAACCAGTGATGAAAGATGGGCAAAAAAACTAAAGTCTCCGTTGGGCGGCGGTTGCGGCGGGCGGGACCATGCAAGGCCAAAAAGAGGGGCCTCCTAGCCTCCCCAAACCAGACCTGCCAGCCTGGGAGCTTCCATGCCAGCATCCGGTGCCAGGCAAGCGACCTCCTCCCTACATCTCTGACAGATAAGGTACCTAACTATGTATGGTACGTATCTTTATTATCACTGGCCTCCCGGGCCAGTTTGGTTATCACGAGATCAACGTGCAGATGATGACAGCTATACGCCGGTTATCGGTTCTACAACGCGCGGACAGTCGTTGGAACAGATTGGCTCTCAAAAGACTGTAGTGCAATATTTGGTGTCACTGTCAATAGTATACGTCGTAGTGATCCATAATTTCGATTCTCATATGATGGTACGTTAGATATCTTTCATTAGTATGGATAAGTTAAGACTGAGGCTCCTCAGCAACATAGTGTAGATAAGCACCAAGCAGCTTAATACCCTCAATGTAGTTTCGCTTGTCGAGCTTCTCGTTGATAGAGTGAGCGCCGTCTGTCGAGCTACCCATGGGGAGCAAAAGAACATTCTTGCCTGTGGCCTCCTCGAATGTCAGGGTAACAGGGATGCTGTTCACTATATTAGTGGTGAATTACCAGACATTTGGGTCAGAGTAACTTGCCTTCCACCTTCGCGAGTATAATCGGGCTCGACACCCCACACACGCTCGACAGCTTTGGCTGCAGCCGAGAAGTTCCAGTGTTTTGGTGATGCAACCCACCACTTGCCAGTATGCTGGGCATACACCTTGAGGGTGTTCTTGCTGCCAAGCTTGGCAAACTGCTCTTCAACATACTTGTACACAGACTCGTTGGTCTTGTCGACGTCCATGTCTGGAACAGTTCGGATAGAGAACTTTCCAATAACCTTGGCAGGAATAACAGTCTTAGCTCCAGGAGCAGAGAAAGCCCCCTCAACACCATGAATAGATAGAGATGGGTATCTCCAGCGACCCATCAGAGTACGCTTCTTATCATCGAAAATGGTGGTCTTGCTACCCAGAGACTCATGAATATTGTCCATGGTGAATGAAATGCCATCATAGAGACCCTCCTCATCCGCCGTGACAGGTGCAACCTGCTCCTTGATACCGGGAATCTGGATCTCGCCGCCAGTGTTGACCAAAGATCCTAGAACTCTAACGAGGTCCGTCATGGGCTCCTGGGCGGTACCGCCAAAGACACCACTGTGAAGATCGGCGCCAGGGCCGGAGATCTCAACTGAGTAGTAGTTACAACCACGAAGACCGTAGGTTAAGCATGGCTTCTCGGTACCGAGCCAGTAGTTGTCGGATATGCAGACAGCCTCAGCATCAGCAAAGTACTTCTTGGCCTCTTCCTTGATTAGGTCATCGAGGCCTTCAGAACCGTACTCCTCCATACCCTCGAAGCACATCAGCAGGTTGACAGGAAATTCAACGCCAGCTTTTTGGTGAGCCTCGATAGCATTCAACCAGCCTAGAACTGGACCCTTGTCGTCTGTAGCTCCGCGGCCAAACATACGACCCTTTTCGTCGACAGTAAGGTCAAATGGCTCAGTAGCCCATCCGTCGCTCTTTTCCGCGGGCTGGACGTCGTAATGCCCATAGACGAGGATGGTACGCTTATTCTTGTCGCTTCCGTATCGTGCAAGGACAACGGGGGGTAAGTCGAGGTGCTCCTTATGAGGCTGCTTCCCAAGAGGCCGAAGCTCTACAGAGGCTCCAAGAGCTTTCAGCTCCTCGCCGAGCCACTCTCCCATACGAACAACATCAGGGCGACGGGCATCTTCGGCTGAGATAGACGGAATGGCGACAGCCTTGCGCAGTCGCTCGATGAAGTGGTCAGCCGAGCTGTCGACTTGCTTGAAGAAACCGTCGAGCTGGGGGGCCATCTTCTTTGCTTGGTGTGAACGAATAGAGTCTGTGAGATAGGTCCGAGAAGAAAAGCAGAGTTTCTGAGGAAAAGTTTGCGGGACGGGTACTCTTAAAGAGATAAAGGGCCTTTTGGGTTGTGCTGTTACCAGTCGAGTACAACAAACAGCTGCCCTATCGAGGCGTACGGTGCGGGGCATTACACGGGCAGACTTGCCAGGACCTGCTCGATCGAGCGGGCAATGATGGCGGGGCACTTTTGACAGGCGCTCCAGCGAAGGGAACGGCTAGTTACGGCAACCAATGGTAAAACAGGTGCCAAATGATTAGTCAGTCAGAACAGAGAGAATTTGGTCCGAACTTGTTGGGCGAACTTTTAGGTGTGCTTGGTAACTATGTGCATGACCTGTAGTGGAGTTCCTCGGATTAACTTAAATGCGCTCCTCACAAGGACTCCGTGTCATGATTAGTCAGATGCCGAAGGGGGCAGTTGGCCGCTTACCATTCTCATGACCTGTTGCCGAAGAGTCTTCCTCTCCCCACTCTCCTTGTCACTCATCCATCCATCGTCGACGTTCTTCCTCGCCATCGGTACAGCGACATATGACATCAAACGCAGTCTTTTGATCGCGCTTCATCGACTTTTTTCTATCTCGGTGGTTTCACAGTTGGCTTTTTTTTTTTGTCTTCGCCCAACCTACGATACACAACCCATCAACACGATCCGCTTGTTCTCACGCGACCGCCGACTATCCGCTCCCCCCTTTCGCTCAACATCCTCGCGTATAACGTATTACTGGTCTGCTCTTCAAGGGCGTGATCTTGGGACGCCTGGCTAACATTAAGGTCGCTGGTTCATTGGTTTGACAAACGTGGTGACTGGAAAGTGAGGAGGAGTTTCAGGGTTGTCTCTCTTCTGGCTTGTTTTGGCCAGCTGTACTCCTTATTCATTGCACCCATTTCTTTTTTTGACCCTATTGCCACTATTGTTCCCTCAAAGTACAATCAAAATTGATTATTTCCATTCACCTTGAGTTGAAAGAGCACGGCAGTGCGAGAAAGAAAACCAACAGAGAAGAAAACAAAGACTTTCATTGTTTGCAAACGCAAGAACAATCAAACAATCAATACTTACATAGTGCTTTGTGCGACCGGCCCCGGCCTGACTTTGGGATTTTTTTCGACTTGCGATATTGAAATCTCAACAAACTTTTGTTATCACTTGTACTGTGCTCCATCTGTTCCTGTAGGAAACACCCAGCACGTATCAGCCAAAATGACGTCCTCCGTCTTTTTCAAATTCAAATCTCAAAAGGAGCCTACTCGAGTCGAGTTTGATGGCACCGGTATCTCAGTATTTGAGTTGAAGCGTGAGATTATCACAAAGAGTGGCCTAGGAGATGGTACCGATTTTGACCTGCATATTTATACCGATGATAACAGCGAAGGTGAGTTAATTCAATCGATACCAGGCAATAGCATTGCTAACGACTTGGTAGAATACGACGATGATACGACTATCATTCCAAGGTCCACGACTGTCATTGCCCGACGCCAACCTGCTCTCAAGCCAGGTGCAGGGCGCGCAGCTCGTTATGTGTCTGGAAAGATGCCTGTGACAGCCAAAAACGCTGGTCGCAAGGAGCAAGCGGCGAAGGCCTCCTCATCCAAACCCAGCTCTGATGCCATCAGTCAGATGAACAATGCTATGACTGAAGAGGAGAAGATGGCTGCCATGTTTGCAGCACAAACCGAACAGTGGTCTGCGCAACAAGAGGAAATGTCTCAGTAAGTTTCAGAAGCCCATCCAATGTTACACAGAAACTAACTGTTAGCCAGCCAAACACCAGTGTTCAAAGCTGGTGCGAAGAGACCAGCAAACGTCCCTGACCATGACCCCCCGAACGGGTACATCTGCTACCGGTGCGGCAACAAAGGTCATTGGATTCAACTGTGCCCTACTAATGACGACCCCGAATTTGACAACCGCCCACGTGTCAAACGAACCACAGGTATCCCACGTTCATTCCTGCAAAAGGTAGACAAGTCCGTTGTCCTTGCGCAAGCTGAGGGTGATGAATCCAAGCGTCCGTCAGGTATCATGGTCAATGCCGAGGGGGATTTTGTTATTGCTGAGCCCGATAAGGCTTCGTGGGAGCAGTTCCAGGCCAAGGCCAAGTCTTCATCTACAGCGAACGCACCACTAGCTGAGAACAAGGAGATTCAGGAACAGGGCTTGGAGTGTTCAATTGACAGGAAGATGTTCATAGAGCCAATGAAGACTCCATGCTGTCAGAAGACCTTTTGTAATGATTGCATAACTAATGCTCTCATCGAAAGCGACTTCGTCTGCCCTGCTTGCCAGTCAGAAGGTGTATTGATTGATGACCTTCAGCCAGATGAGGAAGCATCCAAGAAGATTCAAGAGTATTTGAAGGACAAGGAAACGGCCAAGACTCCCCCTCCCCCGTCGCCCAAGACTTTGACAGATGTCAAGTCAGATGGTGAGAAGCAAGAGAAGTCAACAGAAGAGACTACCGACGATATGGAGCAAAAGCCTGAGAATGAATCAAGTGACAAGACTAAGGACTCGCCCGTCAATGAAAAGCCAAAGTCACCGGCGTCTCAAACTGCAAATGTCAACTCACCTCCCGCGGGTCCTAAGAACCTTGTATCCGCGTCTCAAGATACGAACGAACAACTAGATAATCTCAAACCGACAGATACCAGCTCCAAGAAACGGCCCGCAGATGATATTCTTGACAACCCAAGGATTCCCAGGGGTCCTAAGGCCATGCAGAACCAACAGAACCAACAGAACCAACAGAATATGGTGAATGGCATGGGCATGAATGGCATGGGCATGAACATGGGCATGAATAATATGATGTTCAACGGAATGCCCATGATGCCCAACATGATGGGCATGCCAAACATGGGTAACATGAATATGGGCATGTCAAATATGAATATGATGGGAATGCCTAACATGATGGGAATGCCCGGGTTCCCCGGCATGAATGGCGGATTCGGCGGTATGCCTGGTTGGGACATGAGCATGAATGGAATGAATGGCATGAACGGTATGAACGGCATGGGTAACATGAATGGAGGAATGAACGGCTTTCAGAACGGCAACTTTGGACAGGGTGCTGGCGCGGACGAAGACGCCTACTTTCGTAAGCCAGTTAACCCTCATCGACACCAGAACAAGCAGCGAAGAGTGCGACCAAGCGATTACCGAGAGCTCTGAACATCGATTCGACTATCATTCCTTATTCTAGCGATTGCTTCTCCTTTGTTTGTCGCATTTTGGATTGGGACTCTAGGCTCATCATTATTTGCTTGATTTTTCAGCATACTTACCGTCAGGCTGAACTGACCGGCGTTGGGGGGATATGGCCTCGGAGGATTCTTTATGACAGGTTTCCATGTCTACTACGTACGGCCAAGGGTTGGAGAAACGGTGCATTACTTAGCAAGATCTTGAATCAAATCGAGGTCAAGCAATGAATAAACAAACAAATGAACGAAAGATTAAAAATCGCCGTGTACTTTCTTTTGTGATTGGGTGTATTTGCATCTCAATTCTAGAGTGTATTATATCATAAGCCATCAATCAATTATTTCACAACTCCACGCCGCCCGTGCTCTTGTATATGTGACACTAACTAATATCGATTTTTTTCGTATTCCACATCACGTTCTACGTCTAGCCCTTGATACCAGCCTTACTCAGGAGGAACATAGGGCGTGACAAGCATTTCGCTAAACTTCTCAAGCTTCTCCTTTCCTCGTACCTCCTCAACCAGGAGAGGCATCTTGACGACATTGAAGTCCTCAGCATATAATTCTTCATACTGGTCAAGATACTTGCGCTGCATCTTGCGACGGGCGTTGCACTGATCGCAATCGCTAGCCTTCTTGGGGAAGAGCAGCTGGTTGACAACGATGGAGTGGGTATCGATACCATAACCAGCAAGCTCCTGAATCATACGCTCCGTCTCGTAGAGGCTCAGAAACTCTGCAATGCACACACAGACAAATGTGGTGAGTTCGGCGTCCTGAAACTGAGTATTGACCTCGCCGATGGTCTCTCGCAAGGATTCAAGTTTCTGAATCATATCATTGAGGTTCTGTCCGTTGGGTAGCTGACCTCCAGAGCCAAGGAAGCCGTTGAGGAGAGGACCATACTGTGACGACAGCTGAGAAACCTTTGCGAGAGCCTTCTCGAGAACGGTTGGAAACTGGAGGAAGCGCAGGGTGTGGCCTGTCGGGGCTGTGTCGAAGACGATGGTCTCGTATGAGAGGGACTTGACTTGCTTCAGGACTTCGGCAAATGACATAGCCTCGTCGATACCGGGGATCTAAGGATGTCAGCTCGACCCTGGGAGAAACGTTCCGCCTCAACCTACTGCGAATGCCAGATCCTGCATCATGCCTCCCAGAGGACCACCAGCCGCAGCGTTGACATCATCGGCGTCGCCCTGGCCTGCTAACATATCCTGAATGCTACCATTCGGGTCGATCTCCATGGCACTCAGGTTGTCAAACCCATTGACAAGGCGGGCCTCTTTGCCAAACTTCTGAGAGAAAGCATCTGAAAGGTTGTGGGCGGGATCGGTCGAGATGAGAAGAACAGAGCGTCGGACCTTGGCAAGCTGAATCGCAAGGGAGCAAGAAGTCGTGGTCTTGCCGACACCACCCTTACCACCGACAAAGATCCAACGAAGGCTTCGCTGGTCCAGGAGAGACTGCAGAGAGGGCTCAAGGGCATCCTCGGCGGAGATAACTGCGGTGGACATTTTGGGCGAACTATGCGATGAGGCTGCAGAGTACAATTTCTCGAGTTGGTGTTGAGAAAACAAGCGATAAGGAACCGTTTACCTGCCTTGACTGTTGGCGGTAGGCTTGGCGGTAGGCTAGAGCAGAGAGATAGATTGTACAGGGCAGAATCAGGATTTGTGTCCTGTATGTTCTAGAAGGTCTTGGATGGCGGAGTTGGCAATGGTTGTGATTGACCGTTGACTTGGAGGGGTAGCAGCAGACATAATCACGAGTCAGTGATGTCGTTTCACTCGGTTAGTCATGACTCCTTTATTTTGTCAGCGCGTCATGCGCCACATGGCTATCCAAACTCGCCACGTCATGTACAGGGTAGGCATGGGCAAGGTAGCAACTGTAGTGAATATCTAAAGTTGACTTGAATGAGCCGTTAGGATATGATAATGTATTTGTTGTGTAGCATCTGGCTGGGACCATGTTTCTGCTAACAATAGCTGAAGCTCTATTACACGCGGTTTGACTGATTGCCTACCGTTATGCCCTCTCCGGGGCCGGCTCCGTCCATGCGATAGGACTTCAAGTGCCGGCGAACGGCGTAAGGCGCGCGGAGCCACACGCAAAGAGCTCATTCTTGGGTCTAATTCTTCTGTAGTTAGGTACTAACCTAGTAGATAGCGGTGCTGAAGCACCAGCGGCAGTAATCAGGTAGTCAGTCAGTCATTCAGCTGAAGTCGCTGATTCTCTGCACCAAAAAGTACTTAGGCTGTGCAGCCGCCAACAACCCAACTCTCACTGCCTTACTCAAATCGCCTTTTTATTTCGATCCCCCTTCCTTAGGTGCCTTCACAATTCTAGCCTTGATCTCTCTTCTTTCATAGAAACGCAACCCTATAAGCTCCGGAGCCACCCTGGCCAACTGAGCTACCTCTATCCAAAGCCCTTGGTGCCTGTCAGCTTGCACCTACCCCACCTTGACGTCAACCTCACCGAATATCTGATCATAAGGTACTACCTTATCACCTACACCACAATCAACCACTTTGTACACCAATTTCAACCATCACGATGGCTTCTCACACCAAAGACCCTATCACGTGCCACGTTCTTGATACGCAGGCTGGCCGCCCTGCTCGTGGCATCCGTGTCCGCCTCGAAGGCCCTATCCCGCCATCGACCAACCCTCACTCTGCTGCCCAACCTCGACCCAACACCTTCGAATCCATAACCGACGACGATGGCCGTGTTACGGCCTGGCTACCGTACCTTTCCGAGGATGCTGCTGGAGATCCTCCTGTCCAGACTCTCGTCGAGGTGCTTGAGGATCGCAAGGGACAGGGCTCGTCGCGATGGACGCTGCGCTTTGATACGGGAGCTTACTTTGGCGAAGAAAATACCTTCTTCCCTGAAGTGACGGTAACATTTCGTGTCGAAGAAGGACAGACCTATCATGTTCCCGTGCTGCTGAGTCCCTACAGTTATACCTCATACCGTGGAAGCTAAATGGGCGGTAGTAGTCTCCCTGTTACACAGAGTGAAATTGCTAGATCAGAGGCTGAATCTCATGAGAAACAATCGATGCCAAAGCGATTTTTAGAACCCTGTTCATAAAACATCGCTGGTATGATATGGAGATAGCACAGAGACGATGACAATTTTACGATTATAGCGATAAAGCTACTTATTAATTCCTAAAAGAGTGTCCATGTCGGCTACTTCCTTCCAAGCCGAGCCAACTGGCTATATGAGTGACATTGCTGTCTCTGCCCTACCAGAGGGACTTTAATATCCAAGTATTTGCACTGTTTGCCAGGCGATACTTCTCCTTGCCGACCAAGAAACCGTGATCCAGGTAAACGCCACGCTGTCCACAAAAGAAAAAGTAAAGAAAGTGATTTTTTCCCCTCGGAAAAGCATCTCGGTGATGATGCGTTCGTCACAGGTCATCAGGTTCGGCCGTATACGTCGTTGTAGAAATCATGTTTGTTCCGATCCGAGTGAGGTGTTGCACTGTTTGTTCGGAAGGTTATACAACACCTCTAGCTCCTCCGAAACTTGCTCATAAATCCTTTCTTAGAGCGATGGGTTGGTACGTCTGGCGAAGTTGGCGGTGTGTCCTCTTCGTCTCTCCTTGTGTTCCTAGACGCGAGACTATCGGTCTCGTCCTTGGAGAGTCGGATGCTTGATGTAGAAGGGCGGAAGCTGTTCATAGATGGATTGCCTGCTCTAATGCTCTCGTTATCTCCAACATCAGATTGAACTAAGGAGAATACACTGTAGAGAGCTTCCGAAGTGGGGGTAATGCGCCCATGGTTGAGAGTGCGTCGTTTCTTCCTAAGGAAAGATCGCCGAGTTCGCATAAGTGCCCGGTCAGGATCGATATCTTCTTGAGTGAGACAAGCGTTGGGTGAAAGATCCGCATCTGGATGTGGGAGTGTGGTGTTTCGGACTATAAAATGGTTAGAAACAGATATTACATTGCAGTGGTTGGGTGTCGACTAGATAAACAATTACCATTGTTAAAGGGCTCCGGGAATCCTGTGTCTCTTGGTTCTCTCGACTCCCTTCGAGGCTTGACGGTACTGGTAGAAGTGATAGTATCCGCCATTGTATCGGTGGATTTGGAGTGTGTAGAATGAGAAGTCATTTGATGGTCGGCCGAGAGTTGAGTATGTGTTTGTTTATGATGAGAAGAATTAACAGTAAAGGAAAAAATAGCGATCTTGTTCAGTCCTTGACTACATCGACTCTTGTTGATTGTGGCTGTATTACCACATGGGGTAAGTTCAGATGGATGTAAGAGAGAACGTGCGTGGGTGTAAGCGGGCGCGATACTGTTTTCGTCTCGCGCCAGAGCAAAGCCTCAGCGGTTGCACGTAACCTCGAGCTTTTCAGAGAGAAAGCACCGAGGAGAAGAGCGCAACGAAAGGATAGGTAGGTAGGTAATGAGGCAGTTATGTTATGTTGGTCTGTCACCGAAGGGAAGGGGAAAAAAAGGAGATTTCACTTTCGCTTCAGTGAAGAGAAGGCCGGAATATTTTTGGTCAAATTAAACCAACGGCAGGGGACGAGTTTGGAGTAAGTAGCACAGGCAGCGCTGTAATTCTGTAATAGCTGGGCTGAAGTTGCTGGGGTAGGAGATTTGGGTAGAGGAGCGATAGTGAACGATGGGCGAAGGCGAGGGCGAGGGCGATGGGGGGCCAGACAGGGTTATATTGCGTCCACAGAATGATGAGCTACATGGAATGATTACGATTAGCTTCTTCTTCTTCTTCTTCTTCTTCTTGGTCACTGCTTGGCCTACAGCCTCCTCAAGCGCTGAGTTTGATCGGATCTTCGGCGCGTCCAATGTCGAGCTTAATCGTGAGGCTTGGCTCTCGCTATTCGGCACCTCAGCCAAGAGAGACAGTGAACAACCAAGCCCAGCTAAGAGAGCAGCAGCAGCAGCAGCGGTAAAGTGACCCTTTTGCCTGCGCCCCAGAGAGTGCTAGCAAGTCCTAAAGGACAGAAAGGACAGGGGTGCGAAGAAGGGCAAAAAGTGCGTAATTGACAAGGGGTGGAGTGGTCCCAGAGGCAGGTAAAACTCCGAACGACCAATTGTGTGAACAATGAAAGGCAAAAAAGAGTGAATGAACAACTCACCTTGTCTTGTCTTACAATGTCTCGCAATTTCTTGCTAGGTATAGTACCAAAGACAAAGCACCACGCTAAATAAAACAATGAAACTCGATGTAGTTGAGGATCTGCACAATGGGAATTCGCTAGTCGAACTGTATCTGTTGTATCGCAATTTACGCCTAACAACATAAAAGCCCGAGACCCTTTCAGTGGTGTTAGTGGCCTGGGGTACAGTACAGGCGGTTTGTATGCGTCAAGTGGCGTTGCTTCTGCTTGAGGCTCGGCCCAGGCCCAGGCGCTTCGTTAGCGGGCTCTGTATCCGTAACTAATGGAAGTGGTGGGGTCGTCGTTCGTCAGCCGAGAATTGGTTGCTCTCGCTTGGCGAGAATGATTTGTTGGGCAAAAAGGGCGGCGTGACGAAGACTTTGGTAGGCAGGTAGTTACTTGGTAGACGTTGGCCAGCGGGTAGATGCCTATTATTGGGTCAAGTTCTGTTTATCCTGCGCCTCTAGAGACGAGACAAGACAAGACACCTCGGTCAGATTCTAAAGGAATCGAGTGAGAAACGACGGATATCGGAGGTATGAGTATGGCTGGGTTATTCTGTGCCATTTATAAGCTATCAATCATCTTGTCAGCGTCACAAGATAGCCTGGCTTGTGCCCAACTGTCTCTGATACTGCATCGTTATTCATCAGTTCACTCACTCACTAATTCCCGTGCCGAACAAGCGGGTTTCCCTTTCCCCTCTCTCTGTTCTTCCCCAACAGCCTGGGATATGCCCAGTAGTATCATGAACAGGACCCCAGTACACATGACGACAAAACGGGCCGTGCAGCTGGACTCCAGCCGGTGTCTCGCAGGCCATAGTGTTATCTAGTGGCTCGTCAAGCAGTTCTGCTACTGTACATAGGCCAAGGCACAAGGGGGACCTGCCCATCGTCGAGTGTCAAAAGAGTGCGGGTTTCCTAGGTACTGTTCAGGTCCTGGATTGGTAGATTCGTAAGAGACGGCAGGACGGCATTCGATTTCGATGGCGGGGTCACCGATACCTAGTCCCCTCAGTGACAACGATACGTCTCTTCTTGGCGCAGCATTCATGTGAATCAAGTATTGGCCAGTCTACAAAAACAACACTCACTACTACCTATCCATATCTGTTGTCGCTATTCCCGGCTTTGGGCTCTCCGCAATTTCAATTTCAACATGTACCTACTAAGCTAACCCCTCGATCCCTACCTAATCAATTAGATCCAGCTCCCCGTACCCCGCTCATTCCCGCTAATATAGATGGATGTACATACATCATCAAATAAAACAAACACTTTTCAGGGCGGGAATGGAGAATTGGCTCCCTCCCAATTTTATGTCAGCCGTTTATTCCGGCCCTGGATCTAGGTCTTAGGGACACTTACAGCACAATATAACGACACTCTCTTGATCGTGTTGGTAGGGTAAAGATTGGAGCCATGACTACTAACCGTCCGTATACCACCAACTCCTGGAACCTCAACGCACGCATGTGTACTTGTACTTTATTACGAACCCCGGGGGTTGCTTGGCTGCGAAGGCGGCGGGAAGGGTGGCTACCATTTATTATTCAATCCAATGACAAGCAACCCGCTAACCATCGAATCGGCGTGCCTATTCCAGAAGGTCGAGCAAGCACGTACCGCAAGTCCTGAAGTCCACTCCTGTTGGCTTTGCAATCTTTGGCCCTTAGTGAAGTATGATCTGCTAGGCAATCAAACGGCGTAAAGACTTGACGAATAGCATGGTAACTATAGGTTCAACATTCCTGTCTGGCATAGCCCTTCATCAAAGAAATCGAGGCTCTGCGTGGGTAAGGGACGCCACACCAGAGCTACATTTTGATAGGCCAGCCCGTATCCTTGGCATTGACTTGCGTTGGGTTGCACCTCGTAAACGGAATACGAAACTGCCCTGCCCGTTGACAAGCGGTTAAGCGGGACGTTTCGTTCCGATCTATAGAGTATAGTACCTCAGCACCCATGGTTGCAACATAGGTACAGTATATGCAGAGTCGCCCTGAATGTATGCTATCATCCAGTTTTTTCTATGTACCGAAAACCTGTAGACTTAAAGTTTGCGGTCATCGGCAATTCCGCGTCTAGTCGATCTTGTGTGGAGAAATTGCCCCAGCGACTATGACGATATGTATGTACTGCTTGGTCTCCTCCGCTGATCATGCACTATCAGCTCTCAAACTACCTAGCCATACCGGGTTTCATGTTGCAAATGAAGTTTTGATCGGCATTAGGTGCAGATAATAGATTGCCTAGTTGGACTGTCAAGACTGGCAGATGGGCAGATGGGCAGATGATGCATATCTATGTACAGAAGCTGGTCAGAAAATCATGACATGATACAAGTCACGTATGCAAGCTTTTGATGGAAACATCTTTATATGTTGGGAAATTCTATTTGGTATTGATACCTAACTTCTTCTGTTACTTCCCTAGAATGATCAAAGACAAATCAATTATGCTACGCCATAAGAACCCATTGACCTCAGCCATGTTCAGATTGAAAGCAAGAACAATGATCCTAGTTACCTCTCCGGCCACCAGTGCTCATGAGTGTGATTTTCTGTTTCTTCTTCTTCTTACCCCCGGCACTATTGCCGATTCCTCCTCCTGCTCCAGCCGCAGTAGTTGAACTGACACTACTCTCCGCAGCTTCAATAGCCTGTATCTGCATCGCAAGATCGCTCGTATCAAACAAATCCTCATCTTTAAGCCACCCGTCATTGGCGTTAAAGGGTTGTGCAGATGCTATCTCAGGCGATCCATTAATCACCCTCGTGCCCCAGACTGTCCTTTGTGTCGAGGGGCTGGTCGACATACCAGCTAATGTCTCGAATCCTGGTCGGGGATCCGGGGGCGTGGTGCCTGAGTGCCCGCTCAATGGTTGGAAATCCTCCATGTCCATTCGAGGCGACCCATCCTCCTCTAACGGTTCAGGAAGCCTCTGATATCCAGTAGTCTTACGCAGATTCGCGGCTTCAAGCCGCTCTGCTTGAAGACGCTCCCGCTCTTCCTGTGTCTCTTTGTCACGATTACGTCTCCTTCTCCGCTCAATATCGCCTGCGAACGATTCCAGTGTCTCTTCTGGTACGATGTCGGTCCAATCACACTCCAAGAAATTCACGACACATCCACGGGGAAGATGGCCAAGATATTTTGCTCTTCGCCGCATTGTGTCATCGACCACATGGCCAGTGGAGATATGCTCGACGCGGGGGAGTAGCGTGGAGGGAAACGAAGAAAAAGAGCCATACTTGGTCTTCAGGATGCGGATATCCAATGGTGAGAGATATAGGTGAGGTGGGGAGCTGTAAAAATAAAAGTCGGCATCTGAGGAGGCTTGTGCCGGCGTGGCTGGACTTGCAGCAACCTGAAGATCAGCCAGCTTCTCTTTCGCGACTGTGATAGCCCGAATCGCCTTTTGGGACCATTCATCAGTCTGTCCGAAGAGGGTCTCGTCCTCCTTAGCTTGTTGGCCCAGTGAAGCAATCTCCTCGTCAAACTGGGCTGCCATATAATCAGCTGTGCCTTTCATCATGCGAGCGTAGTCTAAAACATTGGCAGCAAAGTGCCAAGGAATGTCATCCTGGGAGTGCAGCACCTCGGCACCACTCTCTCGTGGAAGGGCCATTGTCGAGTTTGCACTCCGTGCCATTAAACGCAGCACGACGTCGTCACCAATCCGGGGGAAAGGACTTTCTTGTCCAGCATAAAATCTTACAGGCCGAACATCTTGCATATAGATAGAATCTTCGCAAATGGGACATTTTTTCCACCTGGGTCCGCGACCCTTTGTTTCATCTTCACTCGAAATTGAGTTCATAAACCGAATAAGGCAGGGTAGACAAAAGATGTGACCGCATTTTGCCATGCGAGGCGCCACAGGCTCTGAAAGACAGATGGGGCACGATGAACCTTGCGACTCGCTTGAAGCAATGATTTGCATGACAAGAGACCAATCGAGGTGTGTGTCGGCATCTGTAGCTTGCTTGTTGTATGTGCCTTCTGGTGAGAGAATGAATCGGTAGTTGGCATGAACGTATCGAGCCTTGTCGCTTGCATGGTAACCGGAGCCTGGTCCCCATGTTGGAGTTCTACGATAAGACCTCGAATGTGCATGGTGATCCTGTACCGGGCGTGGCATTGAGTAGTTGAGTAAATGGGTAATTGAGGTTTGGCCCCGCCTGCTGTTAGGGTTTCTGAAGGCAGTTAGTTCGGCCATGGCATCTTCGTCATCTGGGCCAGTATTTGACCTGTCACCGAGTCCAGGTCGCCGCTGACTCCGGTGTTGTTTGCGGGCGCCCTGTGACTTGCGAGGCATCGATTGCGAGTTCGAGGAGCCGGCCTGCGATGGGCGACGAGACGATTCGAAGCTCGATAATGCCGGGGCTGCTTGGATGGCTGTGGAACTAGACGGTGCAGGGGCAGTTTTTCCCACGTTTGGGCTAGAGGAGCTCATCTTCGTAACGAAGGTTTCTGGGCGACTGTGATCGCGGTCGGCGAGACAAAGGACTGGTCAATCGTGCGATGAATTGCGCTCTGTCCCCAGTGGTTGGGGGTGGCATACAAGTTGGACAAGGGTGCTGTCAAATTCCGAGAAATGAGTGTTGTGGGAGAGATATAGGATAGGCCCAAGGTGTTGTTATGGAAGTAATTGAGATGGAAAGAGTTAAATGAGGTTCACGAAGGGGTCCAGTTGGGACGGACCCCGTTGATGGATGGAGGATCGAGGTGGATCGAACGAGTCACTGGCGGGGCAAATCGTGACGGAGTTGACGGCTTGGCTGCGCAGGGGAATGGCGTTACCGGCTTCTGTTGGAAGCTGATATAACGAGAATGGTTAGTCATCCAATGGCTATCACATGACCATCAGTGAAATAGGTAGGCACTACCTAGTACTAGGTAGCTAACGTGATTTTGGTATCACTGCGAATGACTTCAGACTACACGAGCTTCTCAAAGACTAGGTTATCCAAAAACGATATCCTTCTTTTGACTTATCAGAAGCTATCATACATGAAGCCCGGTATCGATCAAAAGCATGCACTTAAAACTGACTATGAATTAGGTATATGACAGAGATGTACGCCTCCAGCGACCTCAACCACTCTCCTCTTGCTCATGGATCCAGGGGAATCATTGATAAACGAAGACACCAACCGCAAGAAAACAAAAATCCATGAGACGTGTCTGACCCCACAACGTTGCGATATTAGCCAAGTTGCCTCATTCTCTCATCTATTTGTCGGAAAGCTTGTGCTTAAGCTTGCTGAAGATTGAGCTGAGTCGGTTGTGCTTCTTCTTCTTTTCACCACTGGCTGTCGAGCTGCTGCCGTTGGCTGGTATGGTGGCCTTGGCGCCATTTCCAGTTGCTGTAGTGCCATTGCCGGGTGTTGAGCTGCCGTTACCAACGGCCGGGGTTTCTGTCTTAGCCTCGGTCATGGGCTCCTCGGGCTTAGTCACAGGCTCAGCATCATGCTTGGCTTCCACAGCCTTTGTCTCAAGAGGAGCAGCAGCAGCAGGGGCAGTAACAGCGGGAACAGCAGGCTCAGTCTCCTGAGTCTTGACCTCGTCAACGGCAGGGATAGGCTGGGCCTCTTTGAGAAGCTGAGCTTCGACCTCCTTTTTGTTCTCGACAGCTTCTGTGCTAGCAGCAGCCTCAGGGCGCTCGCCAGACTCCACGATGGACTCCTTGACTTCAGTGGGGACTTCAGGAGCAACCTTGGGGGTCTCATCGATGGTCGCAGCAGGCTTAACCTCCTTGAGAAGCTCAGCTTCGACAAGCTTCTTTTCCTCAACGGCCTCAGTGTTGGCAGCAGCTTCGGGACTCTTGCCAGCCTCCGCAATGGAGTCCTTCACCTCGACAGGAACCTCAGGGGATACCTGCTTTGGTTCCTCTTTAGGTTGCTCAACAACAGAGTCATAAATACCAGTGACAGGCTTGACCTGCTTGAGAAGCTCATTCTCTACCTCCTTCTTATCCTCGACAGCGGCAGTATTAGCAGCTGCTTCAGGTGACTTGCCAGCCTCGACAAGGGATTCCTTAACCTCGGCGGGTACCTCAGGAGACACTTCCTGTCGAATATGCTCCTCGTTCTTGGCGGCCAGGGTCTCTTGGGCTGCAACAGGAAGCTGTTCTTTGACGGAATCGGGTAAGTTTTTGTTGGCGGTATCGGTAATAGCGTCAGCAGCGCTATTCAGCGCAGGGCCGGCCTTCTCCTCCACTGTCTCCTTGGCAGCAAGACCAGCAGCAATCACAGCACCACCGGCAGTAGCGGCCAGAGCGGCGAGGCTAGTGTCTGGCGTGTTCTCAGACTTCTCGGTACCAACACCAGCGGTTCCAACTGAGGTAGCAGGTGCCTCGGGCACAGTTCCCTTAAGCTCTTCCTCAACCATGGTCTTTTCCTTGACCTCCGTGGGATCAGTGCTGGCCTCAGTAACAGCGCCAGCCTTCTCCTGGCTCTCTCTTACAACCTCGGGGACGAAAGCACCGTTGGATTCGAGCGGAACCTCGGCGGCAAGGCCGACAGTAGTAGCTGAGGGAGCAGCGGAGTTAATGAGAACATCCTGTGCGCCGATAATGGGCAGACTGGATTCGGGAATAGTGTTGGAAGATACGGGGGGGAGCTCGGTCTCAATGCCAGGGTAAGCGTCGCTCTTCTCGTACGATTCCTTGTCGAGCTTGGCGTATTTGTCGGTGCTTTGAGCGGTGATGGATTCTGGAATCTTCTCGCCAGGCTCTAGCTTGATAGGGTTTCCGGCACCCTCAGAAGCGGGCAGAGGATTGATGCCAATGGCCTTGTCGAGCTCGTTGGCAGGTGTAGCGGGGAAGCCACCAGGAATGTCAGAAGGGGTCTCGAGGGGCAATTTCTCGTCTTGGGTAGGCTTCTCGGAAGTCAGTATATTGCCATCAGTAGCAACATTCTGGCTAGTTACCTCATCACCCAGAGTCTTCTGCTCTGTGGGCTTGTTCTCGATAGGTTGTTCGGCAGCCATCGCAGCAGTTGTAGACGAAGGAGTCACGGTGTTGAGTATAGCGGCGCCGGAGGCTTCGGCGTTAAGTTGATCGGGAGTGATGAAGTTGTTGACGTTACCCTCGAGATCAGGTTCGTTGGGAGCTGATTGATTGATGATCCAATTACCGTCGACAATGAACTAGATAGAATGCTGGTAAGCGACGGACGTTACAGTGTTTGCGACAAATGTGTAGAAGTATAGAAACGGCAATTGGTTTCAAAAGAGGGGGATAAAGTGAGTTTAATGAGCTGGTGCGATGACGAAGGGGAGGAGGGAGCTGAGAGCAAGAGCGGGTCGGCAACGCAGGCACACTAGCGCGCAGGCAAATCAAGCGCTCGCCTTGGCAGTACGAGGGAACTTTGTCCCTGCGCAACGCAACATCGTCGCCTGACGCCACAGGATTCTACTGGTATGACCAGTTAGAGACTTGACATGGGCTGTGTGTAGCGGACTTTCCATCGCTCTCCGCTCACTGACTCCGTTCCAGAACTGTCGCGATCGTGGTCGCCTTGCGTCATAAACGGCGGAGGGGCTTTGGTTGGGGACTGGTGCGAGATGCTAATGGGTCGCAGAGAACCCATGACATGACAGGCAGGGAAATGAACCAGGGGTTCAGACCCCGATCCTGGCAGCGAAGCAAACTTGCACAAAAAAAAAAGCCAAGGGCAGGGGGCTGGGATTACGGCAGCCACCGCTCTTGCGCCTCCAAGCTCTTTAGGCTTAAAAAGCCCTGCAGATTGCGATAGCGATGGGCGCAAAAGCACGGATTCCTGGGCGGCACGGTCACAACAGCTATTCGTCCATCTCGTTCGAGCAATACGGAGAAGCAAACGGGCAAGATAGGCAGGCTGTTGATGCCAATGGTTCTCCTCGCCATTTGTAAATGACTCAAGAACTGCGAGTGTTTGTCTCCAATGCCGGCGAAGAGTGCAGAATTCGTGTTGTACCGAACCAGTGCTAAATGCAAATTGAATGTCGAAAAGGAGAGATGCTGTTGGGATTGCGGGTCGAGGCTCGCTGACGCTGACGCACCTTGTAGTAAATCTTGCCCTCGGGCTCCTTCAGGTCGACGGTCTTGGAGAAAACATTGCCCTCCTTCTCGAGCTGAACGCTCTTGGTCCAGTTGTCGAATGTACCCGTCACGTAGACCTCGTCGGCGGGATGCTCCCTATAGAAAATTTGGGGTCAGTGATGGGTGTCTCAGACATGGATAAAGCTGTCGCGGTCTGCAGCAGCTAGTCCGCAATATGAAGCAGCCTTGAGAGGCACACGCATGTGATAATGTGAACTTTTTGAGATAGAGCTCAATTGACTTGTCTCGTGCTGAGGCAGACAAAGTGCGACCCAGGACATTGTCGAAGCTATCGCGATGAATTTGTCGGGCAGCGCATCGCAACGCATCATAGAAAGGCAACATATTAAATTGCAACTTACCACTTGAAGGTGAAGCTGCCCATGACTGGAATCTGTGTTATAATCGGTGGTGGAATCTGCGCAAGGGGATCGAGAGAATGCAGCAGGGAGTTAATAACTTTAATGCGTATAGAAGTAAAGTGAGATTTTGTTTTGTTTGTGGGAGAGATGTTGGGTTGGGAAAAGAGCCAGGTCCAAGTCGTTGATGGGACGGGCAGAGACCAGGACAAGTCTGGTTTGGCGTTGGTCGAGGCTGGGGGGGACTGGAGCGAAATTAAAGATTGTTGGCGGCTATGGGGGAGTACCAGCGACACGAGAAAAAGGTACAGACGGTACAAATCGAGAGCGCTGAGACCGCTTCGACCGGACCGATCGATGCAGGGATTGGTTGTAAGCGGTTTGAGAGGATGGCTTCGCCGGATGCAGAACAAGGCAAGTATTGCAATGATACGTAGAGTAGATACGGTGAGAAGGTTGGTTTTATGGTGAGGAAGATAAGAGAAGCTCATAGAAGGAGTCTGCGAAAGCGGAAAAGATAGGTAGTAGGTAATGAGGATGAGGTCAAGGACGAGGACGAGGACGCGAGGATTGACGAAAGGAGCAAAAGACGAGCACGTGGGGGGTTTTGGTTTTGTCCAGCAAAATCGATGGTGATGCGCAACAAGAGGAGGAGGAGGAGGAGGAGGAGGAGGAGGAGCTGCAACAGACAGAGTCAATAGTAGAACAGAGGCAGCGACAAGAAGAGATGAGCCGCAACCCGAGTTGGAAAGGTTAAGATAATTGAGGCTGTTATCAGGTATCAAAGAAAGAAAGAAAAGCTTGTGATTCCCTGGGCATGAGCGCGTCTGAATGGATCAGCCAAGTAAAATACCTAGGTAGGGAGACTGCTTCTGTATGTATGTACAACGCATATAGATCTCAAGTGACAAACGGTAAGGCTGTTCTCGTCACCTAGCCTCCAGTTCTGGTGTAGCTGACGACGATATATCTTTGTCACTGGCATTCATTTCGCGCCGTTGTTGACAGTATCATCCCACGTTTTCCAATCCAACTGAATATGTTTTCGATATTGACTCTGATGCTGATTCTCAAGATAGCCAAATGCGCAGTGTTCAAGTAGGTACCTATTCGGAATGATCCACGACAAGTACTAGGTAAGGTATGCAACATGCAGTCTTTGCATCTGCAGAGTGGGCATGTAAGGTAGCTCTATGTACCTTACCTGGCTGCAGTTCGAGAGCTGTGGAGACTTCTCTGACGACATGTAAACTGTGTCATGGCGTTTGTTGGCGGTCGGGTTGGCTACCTAGTGGGTTTCTTCAATTCTGCAACGAACCGCATCCGGGAGAACATCAAGCAGCACTGCACATCAACACGGTGATAGTGGCTGGTGACGGTTGAATATTCTCTCATCATCACCATGCATCGCATGCTCTTCAAACCCGTGAAACCGCCCTCTCAGATATAGCGCACTTCGAAAAGCTGCGCGTACTGTACGCTCCGTTGTCACCGGAAGCTATTGGATGCATTACTGGGGTAGCTTAGCAAGGTCGCATTGCCACGAGTGCCTGGCCTACACCTCGTCATGAACAACGATGGGGCTTTCTAACGTTGGGGCTGGGTGAGAATTCAATTCCTTGTGAAGAGGTTGGTGAAGAAATCGCACTTGATACATGTCGCAAAGCCTCATTCATTCGAGTTCAATGGTTCGCCGCTGTGATAAACCGCAAGCATGATGATACCCAAAGTCTTTCTTGTTCGCCTGGAAGAATTTTCCTTTCCACGGCCTCTCATACGATGGCCACCGCAACCTCCTGCATTAGTTGAATGACTCTTCATGACAAACAGACCCATATCATGACAACTCAATCCTGCATCGTGAAGCTGGCGTCGATCCGATCAAACAAACAACACCAAAGGCGGTGTGCGCGGAAGGAATAATCGGTGCCCAGCGAACCAACCCAGGATCATTTGTCCCTGCACGGATATAGGTAGGTAGGTACATATGAGTCGTAGCTCAGAACAGCGGTCAATGGAGATATCCTATCCTACGGAGTTTTTTCCCTCCAAGAACACCTGAGGATAGGTATGATGACAGGTGAGTATCGTACCTACACTCTCAGCATGATATCTTACCTTAGGTACCTACCTACTTTGGTATCGCATCTACCTCAATGACCAGGCAGTAACAGGCAAACCTTGACGTCTACCCGACAGGTAGTTGGGCCGATATTACTCTTTTACATTATCCACCTGCATGCACAAGGCCAAAGGCAAATTGGTGTTCATCAAGTTAGTTACAGGCACAGGACACTTTATACGGCCATCCCTCTCTTTACTAAGGTAGTTAGTATTATTTGGCTACAGAAGAAGATCATAAAGGCGTCCTCATCAAGCAAATGGCTGCTGAGGGTTCGCAGTCCAGTCATTTCAACATTGAGCATGGAAAGATATCCAGCCATGTCTACCCTACAGCTCCTCTCTTGATGCAGACTTTGCCTCGCCTTGTTCTTGACCACTCTTGACTTCCTTCGTCTTCAATGCCTGGACTTTAATGTCAAGTTTCGTCTTGTGGTCCTGGGGTTGAGTATGCATAACCCAACCAACCACCCCGCCATCTGAAGGCTTGGGCTTATACTTGCTCAGGTCGACAAGTTGATCTGTTATTTCACTGTAAGCAACTGTTCCAATAGATTGGCTGGATCCGGTGGCATACCCTCGCATTTACTTGTCTCTGCCGTCCACAGAGGAAGGATCCCGTACAAGGCGCCAGGTGCGAATATGGCAACCTTGTCCTTGTCATTATCGTGATCGATCTCGTCAGCCTCAGGGAACTCGACAACTTTCTCGATCTCATCCTCGTCCTTCTTTGGCTTCTCAAGAACGGCAAAGAGGGCCTTCCCCTTCCCATCAGTCCGTTCCTGTTGCTCAATCCACCTGCGAACCAGGAGAGGCATTTGATCATAGTTCATCAGCAGCAGACTTCGGCCATTAAGGTGAGGATCGAGGCCCAGCCACCCTCCTGGATATTCTTTATCGGCGAAGACCGCCTTCAGGCCCTTCGACCATGGCTTCAACCCCTTGGGAGGAGGTTCCATCAGGTCTTTGAGAGTGTACTCGAGAGCTTCAAACTGGGCATTGGCCTCGCAGGTAGGTCGGAATGAGGCCATGGCATCGAGAGCAAAGGGGTCCTTCCAGTCGAAGCCCTGCACAAGCTCAACAGGCGGCGGCGGTGCCATACCAATTGCATGAGCGAGTCCAGCCAGCACAGCTGACGTGAACACGAATCTAGCGGAAGTCGTCTTCATGATGGCAATGAGATATGTTATTGACGGCAACTATTCAACGTAATTGGGAACTACCGTAGGTAGAATCATGAAGCTGGACCTGAATATCTATAAGCTGTCTTAATCCATCATATTTATGCTCCATAGTCACCTTGCGTTAGTTTCTAATGCTAATGTTTTGTTGTCCTTTTCGGAGTCTTGGCCGCCGAGTTTCCTTTTCAGGTTCATATCTCGGCCGATGTCAACGGGGAATAGTGAGTATTGTGTAGCTGGGCGAGCTACCTTAGGCTAAAGTATTTATGGCTGTAGGCTAAGAATAAGTTGAAATTCCTTATGTACTTCCGAGTCCAGCGTTCTGCAACAAGAAAGCCATCACGGTGTCTGATGGTGTTTTAGTGGTTTGGCGCAAAACATCAGCCGAATAGCTAGGCTTCACACCCTATCAAGACTACCTCCTACCCTTAGCTTACGGAGCTCCTTCATCATGTATTCGTCCATTCCAGTAGAACTTGGAAGTCCCGGTATGTTTAGTGTAGTCCTTAAAATGCGACTGTCGCCATCGTAAGTCCGTTATACCGTGTTATTGGTTTGCAGGCGCACCAACAGGACCTCAAGGTGGAATATGCTTCAAAGAGAGGTGACTATAAAACGAGAAAGGCATCGACTGATATCGATCTCAACACCAAAGGAGCCACTGGCATGGCTATGCTTTGTCTAAAGCGATATAGGGACGGAAGTATAGGACTGTAAGATCACAACTGCATTACGCAATTTACGGGGCTGAATCAGAGTTGACAACTAGGTCTCAATTAAATATACGATCCGGGCTGAGCCATGCTGAGACTGATCTCATTGTTCCATTTAAGCGGCCTCTTTAATTGTGTAGCCCAGGCCTCTACCCTGTAATGCCGTGCTAGCCGGGATTACCAATTAGACGAAACATTCGTGCCGTAAAGTGTGCTTATGGAAGAGCTGAAGGATCATGTTCCATGAGATGTTGAAATGGCAGAATGTGAATTGTGTGTCACACCGAGCTTTAGGCCCTGATGATGGGCTCTCAAGTCCAGAAAAGAAAAGACGAGGTGGAATGACTGTTTCAAATGCGGTGATCTGCGTGTTATATGAACAGCAGAAAACAGATGTAGATCGCCAACCTAGGTAATAACTCAGATTCTGCCTCGTTCGGGTGCTCCCGAAGCCCTGTAAATAGCAACGACATGGAATGCACCTGGCACTGGGTCCTCAGCTAGTTCTAGACTTAACTAACGGCTTGGTGCTGACAGGAGACCACCTCATCCATGCTAACCATGCAATATTTCTGCTCCGCCCTCGCTCTTGAAACCCTCTTGGGCTGCTCGTGGACCGGATGAGGCTTAGAGCTCAGGTGCCTGGCATGTAAAATTGAATGTTTGCTCATTCCCCCCTACCTTAAAACCTCGCTGGAACCAGGCGTCGCCAGTTGATAGAACACACCCGTCCTTGTGCACTCACATTGCAATCACCGTCATGGCGACAAATGCAGCAGAGGCTGCGACCTCAGAGAAGCCGCATGTGGCAAAAGCAAAGCGATCCTGGCCACTGTGGAAGAAGCTGACTGCCTTTGGTGTGACACTTTCAATCATCATCGCCCTGGCTGTTGGACTTGGCGTTGGCCTCACTCGAGGAAAGGGAGGAAACAACAGCGACAATACTGCCAACTCAGAGGCCGACGATTCAACAGAACCCTATCTCAAAGCCCGCAGCAGTCTTTGGCAACCCAAAGTCGGCGCACAATGGCAGATTGTTCTCCTCAAGCCCATCAAACTCAGCAAGGACGGCTCCGCCAAGGACCTCAAGCCCAACGTTGGCATTTACGACGTGGATCTCTATGATAACGGCGCTGAGACCTTTGCAGCCCTACACAAGGCTGGCAAGAAGGTCATCTGCTACTTCAGCGCCGGATCATGGGAGGATTGGCGCGATGACAAGAACCAGTTCAAGAAGGCCGATCTTGGCAAGACTCTTGACGGCTGGCCTGATGAGAAATGGCTCAACCTGAGAAGCACCAATGTTCGCAACATCATGAAGAAGCGAATCAAGCTTGCTGCTCAGAAGGGTTGCGACGCTATTGACCCCGACAACGTCGATGGTTATGTAAGTAGTATCACTTATTCTTTTGGTCCGTAATGAACTAACACGAGCCGTAGCAAAATGACAATGGCCTTAAGCTGACCAAGAAAGACTCTATCGACTATATCAAGTTTCTCGCTGCAGAGGCTGCAAAGTACAATATGTCCACTGGTCTCAAGAACGCCGGCGATATTATCTCCTCTGTTCTCCCCTACGTCCAGTTCTCCGTCAATGAACAATGCGTCGAGTACTCTGAGTGTGAGACATTTGCCAAGTTTATCAAGGCCAAGAAGCCTGTTTTCAATATTGAATACCCCGAGGGTGCGCCCAAGGTCAAGGAGTCCGATCGCAAAGCCATTTGCTCCAAGAAGGGGAAGGCAAAGGGTACAGAAGGTTTCAGCACTGTTATAAAGAAGATGAATCTTGATGGTTGGGTCATGTACTGCACCGGGAATACCTACCAGACTGCAGTCGAGAACTGATGCACCTGGGGAAGTCGGTGGGGGTTAGATATGTCTCATTATAAGTATCACGATACATTTCAAACCCTTGATATGAAGTGATAAACGTCATATCGCTCTTCGGTCGTTTCTTTATTCTTGTCATAACCCGTGAGTCGTAATCCTAAGTACTTGTCATGGAGACGTTATTAGCTCCAACCTCTGTCCACCATATTTTCACTTCCAAATTTATGTACAAGCTTCCAACGGCATAACCATAGAGCATCTTGTCGTGCTATCAACTTGGAGTCTGCTAATATCCGAAATAAGGGGTATCCTGACAATTAAAACCGCCTAGAGCTCAAAATGATTTTCAATACTAATGAACAACAAGAAGCTTATGCTGAATCGGCACTTCATGTAGCTGCCATATACTTAGGCCCTCCCTCTTGTTTGAACAGCCAGTCACTGTTGGCGTCGACCATGAAGTTGGTTATATTAAACTCATTTGACGCCCCCAAGCCCGTTCCGTTGTCGTTGGACGCACTCATCTCGGCTCCTGGGGGAGCTGGCGTTCCATTGGCGCCGGAAATATGTTCACCCCCAAATGGGAGCCGAGGCACATTGAAGAAGTCGAACACGTCAAGATACTCAAGCTCGTTGGGAGCTGGTGTCCTAGCGGGTGTGACGCTGGGTAACCTACTGAGAGCACTAGGCTGTCTGGGCTGCCGCGAGATGAGGAAGTCCAAGTCAAATGCTGTGCGTCGCATATCAGAAAGGATTTTGACTGAACTGGGCGTGATCCCGTCACCTTGTCGCTCGCTGTCGTGATGCTCATCCAAGACTCTTTGCAGCAACTGGGAATATCGTGCCGCAACAGGCCAGTAACGACCCATTTCACGCAGACTATCGACAAAGAACGGAAGCTGCGGTGAAAGTTTATGTTCAACTGTTGAGCCATGAACAAGGAGTAGGCGAGCCGAAACCCAGAGAGTAAAAGCAAATGGTGGACCCAGCTTTGCTAGCATCCCATTATTAACAACAAATTCTCCGAGGGCAGCCACGTTTTCAACTGCACCATGACATCGTTGCGACGCGCTATATGATGGAGTGAATATGGGTGACCTCGTCGTAGGATAGGCAGCTGACGAGTGAAGGCGAATAACGGCCGTATGGTAGGTGGCATGAAGCATAACCCAAGCGCAGTTGATGCTTTTACTCCCCGGATGGAACAATTTTGCCATGTTCCCAAATTCGCCAGGAAGACTGAACTTCCAGGATGTCAGCATATTGTCAAGTTCCTTGTACCGCATCTGCCATTGTTCCACATCGCTCAGGGCACTAATGTCGACTGGCTGTTTAAGAAACTTGTGTATCTTGGATAGGATACCGAGGATTTCGATGTAGTAGGCGAATGCACCCAGGTTCTCTGGCTGATCAATATCATGACCGGGTGAACCAGAGTGTAGGTCAGTGCTGAACCATCGGGTATCGACCTTTTGATTCTTGATCCACAAATCGTCGCGGCACGGTAATGTCCTATCGATCTCCTTGTCGTCCAGAGCAAATTCAAAAGCAGTTGCAAGAGTCGCATATCTGTCCAGAAGATATATCATCCAAAATAGACGCCGTCTCGCCTCTTCCTCGATAAAATCCTTGGGTTCCGAGAGTGTCATAGCTCGAAGGGTGTATATGGAAAGATAATGAGGCGACACAGTCGATGAGGTGATTTCAACAGCGAGGCCAAGCTGTACTACAGAACGAGTGATCAAAGCCATGATATTCCACCCTGGTGGACCGTTACTGCTCCCACAAAGATCAAGCGCCAGGATGACGAGAGCTTGCAACGCCTTGACCGAGGAGTTTTCCATGCCATAAAGGAGAACACGTTCTTTGGAAGCTCGGTGATAGTGCTCTCGCCTCTCCTCTGTTAGCCTAGCATCCGTCGAGTAGCGCATTGTGGTTGCAACTATGGCGTGGAGTAGAACTCGATCTGTTTCATCGAGGGCAGATGGTCCAAAAAGACTATCTAGAGTTGTTTTGCGATGCAAAATGGGGCACCAAGTATTGATATGTTTGAAGTAGAGATCAACAAGTGCATAGAGAAGGTCGTAAGGCGGCATGTCTCGATCTGGGGTCGATGTGCCTGGAGCCGATGATAGTGGTGCCGTGGGTGAATGAATGTTGGGTTGCACAGACGTGTAATAGTCTTGAGTGACAGCGGCATGTTGCACGGGTGATAACTGGGAGGATGCTGCCACACCTGACATTGACGCATGGTTCTGACTCTGGTAACCATCATTCATTCTAGGTGTATGAGCAACGTTGAAATCGAGACTCTGTGTGCTCGGAGCAAAGTTGGAGCTGGGTGCCTTGTGACCAAACATGAGAGGATCGGTTTGAGGTGTGCGGACTGGTTCTGAAGGTCGGAGGAGGTTTGGGTGAGTATCCCGTGGAGTTCCTTGGTCGCTCGGAAGACTTGGGTTACTATGCCGAATACTGGCGGCTAAGACAGGATTTGTGTTTGATGCCAAGTTGCCATGGAGAATCTCAGCATGGGAGCGCAATATCTCCTCAAGCTTGTCGAGGCGCTGCTCAAGCTCGCGACCATAGCCTGCTCTTAAACCAGGCTTCTTGCGTTCTTTGTATTCGCATATAGCGCCATTGCGGCTACACCAGCCGCACGATGGTTGCCCACGATCACACTTAACCTGGCAGGCGAGAAGAATCAGTATTAATTGACATACGGAAAACACCAAGAGGCAAGATCGTGTCACGGAGGGCATACCTTTCTTTGCTTACATAGCTCACATCTGGGCAAAGTATTGTTAGTCTCAGTGTCTGCGACAACCTGTATATTTGAGGACAAGGTGGATTGGATTTGTATTGTGGCATAGTAGTTGAGATTTTGTGAGGGCGGGGAGCATGAAGCATGAGGCGATGAAGTGGCCCCAGATGGTGGCATGGTGTTGATAAGAGAGTACAAGAAATGTAGATAAGACTCCAACATGATTATCAAATCATGGACTTATCAACAAGAGGGCAAAAGGAAATCTTATCAGGACATGGACTCAACGAGAGTGCAAGGCAAGGCAAGGTACGATTGACAAAGTATGTAGAGGAAGCGAACGGAGACGAGTAGAAAGCTGCACTTACGAAACCGAGACAGGACGCTTTCTCTTTCCATTACGACAGAGTGTTTCGTGGTCGCCGTGGTCCTCATCCTCGCTAGGGAATTGGTTGGCTTCATCACTGTCTACTTCTGTAGAGGGCGGGCGATTTCCAACCGAGCCCTCGCCCGACATTTTGCTGGCCCCGTTCTGCATGGCTGAGAGTAAGTAAGATGCTGGGCTTTGGGCTCCCTTTTCCCCAGAGCCCTTGCCGCTGGTCGTGTGTCGGTACGATGCAAGAACGAGCTCACCAGCGGTCGTGTGAGAGTCGAGAATAGTGAGGCCGAGTAACAGGGGTAAGCTCAGGCAAAGCAAGCATGCCACGAGATGATGGATAGCGAGTATGCGCGCGAACGATGAGTCCGCGTTCGTTGCAAAGGGGACCTCGCGATCCGGGATAATGGCCAGCGGGATCAGGAGAATGATCGCCCGAGGATAAATAGGCCTGTCCCCGTACTTAACTAAGAGAATGTGTGTAGGACCTGGGCTGCAGCTGGGGAGTTTATTGTCGGGGTAATGCAAAAGATTTTGACCAATACCGCGAATTACCGAAAGGGTCGAATGCTCGCTGTTAATGTTATTTATGAACAGCCCTGTTCCCCTTTGCCTATCACCTGTTTTTCTCGCTTTCCTCCTCGCTTTCTGCTGGCTTTGTGCCTCGGACGGATGGGAAGTGGCGCCGTGATGACCGGACCAGTTTGAGGTGGGCCGAGGTGGACTCTGGGCTAAACAAACTGCCAGAACTCGGTTTCGTCGGTGTACTTCCGTTGGCCAGGGCCGTAGAATAAATAAATTATCAGGAGTCACAACACGGAGATGAGAGACTCCTTAGGATATTGATTTGTTTTGATAATGAGCCGGTAGTCAAAGGTGGTGAAGTAAAGGAGAGACATAGTTTGTTTGCACATGCAACAGGATATCCAACTTACCTTATTAGGCGACTTACCTCAGGTAGGATGGGCATAATAAACTTTCAAGTAATGCGGAGAGAAGGAGCTGATCTCGCACCGCACGCGTGCCTGCCCAAACCTTCCTGCCTCGACTTAGTCGTCTTCAACCTTACAAGCTCTTTCCTCAAGGGGTTGAGGCGGGGAAATGAAAGAAGCGGTATAATCTGATTTGTGGAATGAGATATACAAGTGGATCGTTTGCCGAATTCATTGCCCCAGACCGGATGTAGCACATGCTTCACCCATCCATGTCAGTGCAGGATTGTTCTGTTCAGCCTCAGAAGCTGTCACAGTTTTTGAGCACGTCAACTCATATCAGGCTCAGTGACCTGGATAGAGCTAGCATCCATCAGAGTACAAGTGGCAGGGAATATCTCATGCTGTGAGACCAGAAGTGTCCATGTCTCGGCCCATAGGTATACCTTTATAAATATGGTGTTGATCACTTTCGAGCCGCGACTGGTTTTTCTTTTTTACCATACCTACCGAAGCTGCTAGCGTAATTATGTCCTCTCCACAGTTGCCGACTTCTTATGCCCTACCTTGTCACCCCGCAAAGACCGGGCTCGGCTTTCGAGAGCCTCCACTGGATGCGAGGTTGTTAGGTCTACCAACAGCTGACATACCTAAGGTATGACTGCGGTAGTAATGGGGATCAACAACAAGGACTCAAAGGCAAACCCCCACCCAAAAGGAGAAGAAAAGAAACAAAGGCCACAACCTCCAACTGCCCAAGAAAATCAACCTGAGGTAAAAGTTGGGGACGTATTGAGCCGCCTCTGAGCTGCGTGATCATGGCCTAGGGTTGCCATCAAGTCTTTGTGGAACCCCGACGAGGACCGAGAAAATATGGAGATGGCCCTGTAATTGGGGAAGGCTCCATCATCAACACCAACTTCGGTGCATCTTGACCCGATATCTGCTTTGCCAGAGGGGATTCCGGCGCACGTTTTGCCGGCTTCTGCCTTCGGAATGCTATCACAAGACTTACTGGCCAGTCAGTCATGATCTTCGCGACTAAAGCCATTGGCTCCTGTGTTCCATCATCCGCGATCGGTTACAATTGTGTTTTCCAGCCCACCTTGTAGTGCCACAAGTGCATCCTTTGTAAATAAGCCCATCCCCAGCTCGTGGGTAGTCATCCTGTTTTCTTCTTCACTCTCAACGCCTTCGTCAGAATTTACTGCGCATCTTCTGAGTAGTGACTCTACGCATACTACAATTCATTTCAATCTCTTGACTTTTCTAGGATTGTTCACAATGACGTCTGTTAAGGACTTCCCCAAGATCAAGGCTATACGGTCATTCATCATTGGTGGTGTTGGATCAGGTATGCCGTCTCGCCTCCTGCACAGTGAAGAAGAACTGGCGGGGAAAGAACTTGAGCTGTGTTAACGAATTGCGAAACAGGTGGTGATTATCATAACGTCAAGGGTGGTCACTGGTACGCTCGCTCACCCTGGCTCTGCATACCTGGCCTCGATCGCATTACTCACATTCTATTTGTAGGCTCATCGACAGCGATATCTCAACACCAGCTTCAAGATGGGAGAAGTACAAGAAGTCACGTACTAGCTGGGGCATCAATGTTCTCGGGTCATTCCTTGTCGAGATTGAAGCTACAGACGGCACAGTTGGTTTCGCAACTGGTTTCGGAGGTGAGTTTGAACCTCTGTGTCAAGCCAATGACACGGTAACTCGAGACCCTTCAGGGTGCCTAACATTTTGTCAATAGGCCCTCCCGCATGCTGGCTTGTTCACGAGCACTTCGAGCGTTTCCTCATCGGTGCCGACCCCCGCAACACCAACCTTCTTTTCGAGCAGATGTACCGAGCCTCCATGTTCTATGGTCGCAAGGGTCTCCCAATTGCCATCATCTCAGTCATCGATCTCGCTCTGTGGGATTTGATTGGAAAGGTGCGTAATGAGCCCGTGTACCGTCTCATTGGTGGTGCTACCAAGGAGCGCCTCGACTTCTACTGCACTGGCCCTGAGCCTACAGCTGCCAAGTCCATGGGTTTCTGGGGAGCCAAGGTTCCTCTGCCTTTCTGCCCTGACGATGGCCACGAGGGCCTGCGAAAGAACGTCGAGTTCTTGCGAAAGCACCGTGAAGCTGTTGGCCCCGATTTCCCCATCATGGTCGACTGCTACATGAGCCTTAACGTCACGTACACAATCGAGCTTGTTAAGGCTTGTCTCGATCTCAACATCAACTGGTGGGAGGAATGCCTGTCCCCTGATGACACCGATGGATTTGCACTCATTAAGCGAGCCCATCCTACTGTCAAGTTCACAACTGGTGAGCACGAGTATTCACGATATGGTTTCCGCAAACTCGTTGAGGGCCGCAATCTCGATATCATTCAACCTGATGTTATGTGGCTTGGCGGTCTGACTGAGCTTCTCAAGGTCGCTGCTTTGGCCGCCGCCTACGATATTCCGGTAGTTCCTCACGCGAGCGGACCTTATAGCTACCACTTCCAGATCTCCCAGCCCAACACCCCCTTCCAGGAGTATTTGGCCAACTCTCCCGACGGCCGTAGTGTGTTGCCTGTGTTTGGAGACCTCTTTACCGACGAGCCCATCCCCACCAAGGGCTTCCTTACCACCGCTGACCTGGACAAGCCCGGTTTCGGCTTAACCATCAACCCAGCTGCTAGAGCCAAGCTCATTCCTAGTGATTATCTGTTCAAGGTGCCTCAAGTACCATCTCTGGCACCTTCTCAGGGAAGTGAGAGCAAGACAAGCGAGGAATCCGGCAAGCCCAACGGAACGATTGAGGCTCTCGGTGCCAAGGTGGAGGCCCTAGCAACATCAACAAGTTCTTAAAAGCGATTGTCACACTATTTCAGTCCTGGATTTGTGGTTTTGTTTCTGTTTTTGCGACCCCGTGAGTAGGTCTGTTGAAAGGAAGGAAACTGTACATCGCTATGGTGTTGTTGTTTGGATATAGATGACGTTTGGCAATTTGCATATAGTAGTCTGCCATTGCGCTTTTAGACGTTTCAAATAAAGTAGATTGAAAAGAAAAATCGAGTCTTTAATTAATATGCTTCTGTGATCATTTAAGATGTAGTGAATCATTGTAAGGAAACAACAGCTTCTCGTCATGCGCAGGCCTGCGATGTCAATGATCAACCAAAATGAAACTTCAATAACCATGAGTCGCATAATAAGATGACCCTGACGAGCATACACGATCTTCATAAACGTGCCGCTTTCCACTTGAGAGGTGTGTACACGCCCCACGACACCAGGATAGACGCGACGTTGAGGTGGCCGACACTTGATCGTGAGATCCTTTCTTGGGGAGTCAAACGGTGACCGTTAGGCTTTCAACGCCACCTCGAGACGGTAGCCGTTCTGAAAACCCACAATGGAACCCTCACGATACTGAACGGCCAGTAATTAATTACCCCAGGTCCCAGTAAAGAGCCGTTGGCCTGAGCTTTCGGGGATATGTGGGCACTGGTAGGGACCACAGAGGAAATCACAGACAGTACTAAGGTAGGTAACTAGATGCCATTATGTACCAGGCTCACGATACCAGTCTTGTCTTCAGTTGGTGTTTAGGTTTTGTCTCATGGCATCCACTGAAACTAGATTTTACCGTTGAAAACGGCCCAGAACACCCCCCATTCACTTAAAACGATTTTAGCAGCATGTCAGCCATTTTAGTTAGGATTCCCCACCGGCATCTCGCGTTAAAGCATACCGAGATGGCAACAAGATCCATCATGTTGAAGAAATCTGATTCACTGATTGACCCCTCGCTAGCCAGTCTACCGAGGCTTTCTCTCGCAAAGTTCTAGATCTAGCAATGTGGACTCGGGCTCGGTGTGAAAACTCACCCGGAGGTAAAGAAGCCTACGTATTTCTTTCGAGTTTGTCCCACCATTTGCGCGGGTCTTGCTTGATAGCTTACCACCAAAGGAAGAGGGTCGCAAGAAGAGGTGGGAGAGTTCGGAGCTATTAAGAGCCGCCGTTTCCCGTAAATGAGGGGAAGAAAGCTATAGTAATCATCGGTTTAGAAATTCTTAAACCCTTCGCCGTTCAGACGAACAATTTGACAGAGTTATCATTCTCATAAAATAGAGTCTACCACAAGTCTCGTCATAGCTTCACTATTTTCGCCCTCAGCGCCCCCAACGTTCACATATCGGTCCATCATCCTCGGTATTCCTTCGACCGAACGAAACGAGACAGCAGACAGAGGACAACGCAAGAAATTGCAATCCAGGTCGAATACTTCCGTTTTCGTGACCATAAGCATAACAAATACTCACAGCTTGCTCTGACCACCCAGATCAGCAATCATGTTGATGCCAGCAGGTCTTCTCGCCAATAAGAGTGCCATCATCACAGGCGGCACAACTGGCATTGGCCGTGCCATCTGTCTCGAATTTCTGCGGCAAGGGGCGAATGTTGTAGTCAATCATCTAGGCCTCGAGAAGGATAAACCTCATCTCGACTCTCTCATCGCTGAGGCCAACGCTATCCGCAAAGCATCATCCACAGCTGGCCTTCTCGATCATCAACCAGGCGACGTTCGCGATCCGGCGACAGCAACAGAACTGGTCAAGAAGGCCGTCGAGCACTCTCCCAAGAAGAGGCTTGACGTGTGTGTGTCAAACGCTGGTATTTGCACATTTGCCGATTTCCTGACACTCGAGCCGGACCTGCTGTATTCAACAGTGAGAACAAACTTGGATGGTGCCTTTTACATTACCCAAGCCGCCGCCAGGCAGATGGCCCTCAACCAGGAACCCAAGGGAGGGAGTATCATAGGCGTTTCCTCCATCTCGGCTCTTGTCGGAGGTGGCCAGCAGACACATTACACTCCTACCAAAGCAGGAGTTCTGAGCTTGATGCAGAGCACAGCATGCGCATTGGGAGAACACAACATTCGGTGTAATGCTCTCCTCCCTGGGACCATCCGCACGCAGCTGAACGATGCCGACCTGGCTGATGATGCGAAGAGAACCTACATGGAAGGTCGCATTCCTCTGGGAAGGACAGGCTCACCCTCTGACATGGCTGGTCCGGCTGTCTTCCTGGCTTGTCCAGAGTTGAGCGGATACGTGACGGGCGCACAGCTTCTCGTTGACGGTGGACTCTTCGTCAACCTTCAGTGAAGGAGAGAAGATTAAGCTCGTGGGGAGAAATGGGGATATGGAGAAGTGGAGACGCGGAGGCGAAGCGCTACATCGAGACGAGATCGAAACCTGGTGATGTTACATACCTATCAGCAGAACGAGGATTTGCCGTGGAGACGAGTCGATGTTGGTCTTGTGGGGAAATTCCTTCTTGAGCCGCGGGACACATTGACTCAAGGAATAGGTATGTAGATGTTTTGTCACAAAAGTCTTGGATGTCAGAAAAGTGTTACTGGATACCCGTAGCCCCGGGGCGGCGCTATTGAACACGGGGCCGCGGGGTCGGGCTTGAACGGCGCCGGCCGGCGGCTTTAGTTTTCGTCCCATTGAGTAGGACATATACAAAGCATCGATCTATGCCTGATATGGAAATTCTTGAGTACTTTGGCACGTTTGACGGAAAGAAACGCAAGTGACAGGAGGCACGTTTACTGTAGTAAACTGGAAGTACGGAGTAGATCAAAGCCAATCCGCATAGCGCGGCTTTTTCTAGCCAGGCATATTAAAGGATATTACTGTTGATCTCCTGCACCGTGTCCGTTCTGTCACCTAATTGCTCAAGATGATCGTTGTTCTCACCCTCCATCACAAACCAAGGAAACGTGAGATACGGAGTATATTCCGTCAGATTGAGAACGGGCTGAACGGTAGGCGGGAGGTTTCACCGTAATAACGAGGAAGTGATAAGCAGGAGGTTGCTAGGATCTTACAAGGTAAGGACGGGAGTCGACCGAAGCTGTATACTGTACTTTGGCCAAGACTAAACTTTGTACATCCCTGTTAGTAACCAGTACATACCAGTTGCTTGGGTTTCCGAACGACTACTAAATTAATTGCCGCTATTTTCTGCAAAATTTGAACTCTGTTTTGACCGTTCTTGTTTCTAGAACTTCTGCAGAGAATACTATGTACGGTGACATCAGGGACAGCTATCAAATGAGAGGAAATCCAACCACCAGAAAGACATCAATTCTGGTCACATTGTGACTCCCTCATGGCACCGGCAAAGTGCACCGTAGTACTCAACTCACAGTCAACACAGCACGGACTGTTCCCCACAGTGTTTCCCCCTCATTGTTAGTTTTCGTCCAACGTTGTGCACCGTTAATCAACCACAAGGATGATGCAAGGAAGAGTTGTATTAATCGCGCGCATGCCCCGCGTCGGCGCAGACGTTTTGATCAAGACATCCTGACGTTTGGACGCCAAGCACTATGATTCATGATCCCAGCAGTATAATGTCCTAAAGGTAGCTTAGGAGGCCGCCAAGGGATATATGATGGTCCAACGAGGTGCTATTCTTTCCCAGCGTGAATGGAAGGGCAAACAGATAACAAGACCGACATATGTATGCTTGAGTTTGATGACATGGGAGTGCTTCGTATGACAGAAGAGCGGTAGAGCACAATCCAATGACGCCGATGACTACCGTATCAAAAGATGACAGTACATGTAAAGGCTGAGCTGAGCCGAGCCAAGCTCGGTTGGACTGATGTGGCAGACCGGTGCAGCCCGCAACGACAAACCATCCTGACCCATGGACGAACCGAACCCTTCAGCGCAGAAGAACCCTGTAGACTTGTGCTCCCTATGCAGATCTGATCCCCGATAGGGGTGATAAGGGCTATCTTGGGGACCACGTTTCACATGTTTTCAGGGACAGATCTTGTATTGGATGGTCTGTGTTGCAGGTAGATGCGATGCCTGTGCAACCATGATCTCTCCTCCTGTTACGATATGAGCATGTCATGTCACTCGTTGCAATTGCGTTATTTCTTTCATGTCTCTTACTCACTTTCAAGATCGCAACATGACTGTTGATTGCTAGACAAGGTAACACTTGTGAGACGGGTTTGGCATGAATAATCATTTATTTGGTGATGGCGCCCCACCGAAGATAGTGGCCTTCTAGGCCATGGGTGGATAACGGGGTCCCCTGGTGGGGCCGGACGGCAGCTGATAGGGCTTCGGACCGGGCTGGCGGAGCACGAGCGGAGCCTGAGCGGAGCTGGCTTGACGTCACATAGAACAACGGACCGAAACTGTGCGCGCAAAAAGAACGAAACCGGGACCAGATTTGCAAAGTATCGACGTAGCGACTCTTGATTCCGTGGTCTTGGTCGGGATACAGTGGAGATGTAGAGCATCTTTGTGTGCATTCCCACCGTCGCCAATGCCTCTTCCTCCTGACGGTGACCGTATTGGCGTCATGGACAAGCTGCTTGATGGTGGACACTGTCACCATTCAATCCGGTTTCTCTGGCGGAACTGGCGCTTGATGTCGTCGACCTTGCATTACTTCTCACGCCGAGAAACGAGCCCTGTAGGTTTGAGTTTGCGCCCGACCCCTTGAAAAACAGAGGCCCCTGAAGAGAGACGCAGAGAGAAAAGAGTCTCCATAAGGTACGTTGTGAAGCCATCTGCAAGCCCCCCTGCAATAAGTGACGTTCCCTGGCGCGTCTGTCTGACTGGCTGAAAATGGCCGACACTGAGACCCTGATTGGAGCTACGAACCGTAACAGGGAGCCTCCTCAGGGTCCACACCAAAGGAAGAAGTCTTTTCTGCAGCACATCTTTACTGTTATCAGACGGTACGGTGGTACACCGTTTTATGCGGTGAGCTTTTGTTATCTGTCGCGATTCAGGGCAGCCAGATTAGAAAACTAGAATCAATTGGCGATCTCATGCCGTGTCCTACGTCTGACAGGACGGATCATTGTTTGTCTGTACAGCTGAACATCGGTGGCACCGTGTTACTGTAAACAGTCAGATATCATGAGTGCTTAGTCTATGCTATGCCATGTATCATTGATTGATCCATGACCATGTATGCTGTTACTTCAAGAGAATGAGCTCTATTTGCGTTATTTACAGCCTCCACTGTTGGTTGACAAGTGGGAACGAGGCATGTCTCGTATCTCAAGGACCTACGTATGTACATGTTCAGATGTTGTATGTACTTGTTCCGTGCCCGTGCCCGTGCCCGTTGCCATGCGTGCCTGGCCATGACGTTCATAGTGCGGCGACGGCGTCTAAGAAATGGAACCCAGGTACGGATCCAGATAGCAAACAAAAAAAAAACATCCATGACAGCCCGCCCCAGCCGCGAGTACCTACCTACCTACCTTGGGGGGAGAGACAGCAGGTTGTCAGAAGCTAGCGTAGGTAGGTAGCCAATACCATGCTCACCCGTACATGGCAGCAGGGAGCCATGGGTACCGAGTACCCCACCTGTCTCGCTCTGGCAGGTACCTTTGTCGCTCAGACGGGACCAGAAAAGCAACACCCGTCATCGCCCTTCGCATCGCATCCCTTACCTCATACATACTGTACTGTATCTTTAAAGTTTTTCTTCTATAATCGAAACAATGCCTCACAAGCAATACGGTGGAACCTTTATTGTGGGTAAAGGGGAATCATCCATGGCTTACCACGGTTTCGATTGACAGTGACTGACTCGGTTATTGGACCCCGAGCTACGTATCGACGGGCGTGGATATTGATTTCGATTCGATATCGATCAGAGCCACGGCCAAGATGACGCCTTGCTTGGACATTGTATCCTCAGGAATCTTACGTACTTGTCAGTTGCTCTCCGCTTGGCACCTAAATCTATAAAGCCCCAGATTTCTCCCACCGTTCTTGACGGTAGAACTCATCAGTCTCCATCATTCCCCAGATTCCATATCCACTATCACCAACAACTACCAAACACACAAATAGCTCGACGCTCCCCGGGTCGTTTCTCAATAATCTCTTATTTGATAGCATTTCTTAAAGCACTCTACCCATACCTCAACTTCACGCGTCTCGATTGTTGCGCGTGCGCCTGAACAGGACCATATCCTTTCCTAGCAACACCATCATCATGTCTTCACAGCAGACCGAGTTCTTTAAGGACAACCTCCCCGCTCAGCGTGAGGTCACCACCCCCGACTCTGTCCCCAGCTCTCCTGAGCTCGGAAGCTCCAGCTCAAGTGACAGCATCGCCAGTCTCGGGTCTCCCGCCTCTCCCTTCTCCCCTCCCATCTCGCAGCCCGTCGCCGACTCGTTCGTCTTCGCTTTCGACATCGATGGTGTCTTGGTCCGTGGTGGACGAGCCATTCCTGAGGCCATCCAGGCCATGAAGGTTCTCAACGGCGAGAATGAATATGGCATTCAAGTGTAAGTCAACTCATCCACAATATGCAGTCATGATCCACCAACCCCGGATTTATTCTGGGGAGGTCCACTTAATAAACGGCATCGTGACTTTTACCCTGGCGTCGTACCATGCAATACTGACACCACTCTTAGACCTCACATCTTTCTCACCAATGGTGGTGGTAAGACTGAAGAGGAGCGATGTGGCGACCTTTCAGGTCAACTCAAGTGCGACATCAAGCCTGGCCAGTTCATCTGCGGCCACACTCCCATGAGGGAGATGGCTGAGAAGTATGGCACTGTCCTTGTCGTTGGTGGTGAGGGCGAGAAGTGCCGACACGTTGCTGAGGGCTATGGCTTCAAGGACGTTGTCACACCTGGTGATATCATCAAGCACAACGCCGCTACCACTCCCTTCCGCAAGCTTACCGCCGAAGAGCATGCCAACTCCCGTGAGCGAGACTTCTCCGACGTTGTCATCGACGCTGTCTTTGTCTTCGCCGACTCTCGCGATTGGGCTGGAGACATTCAGATCATGCTCGACGTTGCCATGTCCAAGGGTGGCCGATTGGGTACCCGTAGCGAGACCAACGACGAGGGTCCCCCCTTCTACTTTTCTCACAACGATGTTGTCTGGTCTGCTGCGCACGAGCATGTCCGTCTAGGTATGGGTGCTCTTCGCCGCATGTTCGAAGTTACCTTCAAGGATCTCACTGGCGGTAATGGCGTTCTACACACCCACGCCTTTGGAAAGCCTCAGGTTTCCACCTTTGAGTTCGCCTCCCGTCTGATGGGCCAGTGGCGTCAGACTGAGCATGGCCTTGTTGCTCCTCCTGAGACTGTTTACTTTGTCGGTGACACTCCTGAGAGTGACATCCGAGGCACCAACGCCGTGAACATGGTTGCCGACAATGACTGGTACAGCATTCTCGTCAAGACTGGTGTATATCAGGAGGGCACTGAACCTGCCTATAAGCCTAGAGTCACCGTTGAGAATGTTCTCGATGCCGTTAACCACGGCATCAAGCGTGAAATGGACAAGAAAGCGGCAAAGGGCCACATGTCCAAGCCTGCCCTTATCCCTGAGTCCGGCATCACAGAGATTGCTGTCGACATGGATGGTATTGTCATCTAATCTAACTCACCTCACGCTCTTCATTTCAGATAACATTTTCTGGATTACATTTTTTTCACCTTTGGATTCTGACGGAGTTTCGGGTATCTTTCCTTTGTTACAGCCATGCATTACGAACAGTTCCTTACACAAGCATCTGCATAACGGCTCTTTGCAGGTGTCATGAGCACAAGATACATACAAGTCTTAAAGACCGGATATAACAAGAAGCATCTGAATAGACGGATGGGTTCTGGTTTCGAGGCTTTTCATCATATCTAGCTAGATTCTTACTTTCTTTGATGCACCACCCTACTATACCCTGATGAGCATCACATCAAATCCCATAGAACAGCAAAAAGATAAATAAAAAGACTCAAGGCTCTTACAATATTTTCAGGCAGTATTTTACGAAGTGATTAATTCATAAACCACCCGAAAGAAGCATCCAGACTTTACTTAAACTATTGAATTACAGCCGTATTAGTTGGAACAGATCACATCACAACCAATCAGCACAAGAGCACATAATCCATCCCGTGATGTATTGAGCGATGGAACATGGTGCGACTCTCACTCTCCCATCTTATAATAACCATTGAGACTTTTTTGACAAAACCATTGCTGGCTTGATTAGCAACTCGTGTTGCGGATGGCTCGCCTGTAACCTCGTATGCGGTGTTCTTGATAGCTTTAAGCTGCACTGTTCAATATCAACGCGAATATAAGTCTAATGCAGCTGATTCTTCGGCAACCCGAACCTGTGTTGATTCAGTCTCGGGCGCTCTCATCTCGCTCACCAATATCCAAGGGTTGCTCTGGGTCCGTTTCCTCTTCCAACACTTTCTCATCAGCCTCCCTGAAGACAAACCCTCCCCACTGCGAGGTAGTAGCCCACCCAGCTGCATCGACAATATCTTGCCTCTGCCTCTTCTGGTCCAAAGCTTCCTCTGCGCTGATACCCGGTGCAAAGCTACGGACGTTCTCGCGATCAACACGTAGCCATCCCTTCCAGCCTGTTGTAATATCACCAGCTCCAACACCACCCACAACGACAGTCCCCCACCATTCGCGACCGGCACTCGCCTTTGCGGCACTTCCATAGAGAAGAATGCCCTCTGCATCGGCTACGAGAGCACGAGTATTGTCTGGGTCACTTCGTGCTGGGCGGTGGACGTAGACATGTTGCAAATGAGATGGCGAACAAGTCAGGCGCGTGGCATCAAACCGACCTTCAATATCGATGACCAGAATGGCGTAAAGGTGCGGAGGGGTGACGAGGTTTGATATGAGCCTGTATAGTAGTGGCAGATGACGGCCAGATATGCCGAGACCAGCAGATTTTGTGGCATGAAAGTGAGCTGCTGTGAGATTATCAAGTTCTAATATATGCGTAAGTTTGTTTGGCAGGATTGAAGGATGATGCTGGACCGGATCCCGACAGCTCAAGCGATTGGGATCTGGAGGGAGTGAAGAGCGTAAGTTTCGAAGGACCTGTGTTGATATTTTAGTAAGTCTCTTGAGTCTAGGTGTCGCTTGAAAATGTGAGCCCTTATAGTTGGCTTGGATCAAAAGTGAGGTTGACTTGACTCTTTCGGTGGCTCAAGGGTAAGCCACACCAGCTCATGAGGGCCTTGATACGTAACATGCAAAGGTATTTCGAGGGTTTTGCCGTGATTAGGCGAAGGTGAAACAAAGTCAAAGGAAGCCATGGCAGTTTAATGGGCTTCTCGAGACGACGTCACAACATGTCCGTCCAATCATGGTGTGCTGAATGCTTGTGTCCAATGGGCAAGAAGCTTAGGCCTAAAATCGGAAGTTCAACTTACGTCTTCAAGGCTCATCTCAACAACCTCACCTAACAACCGATTCCCCGTTGCTGTCTCCATTCTGAGACCCCGAAAGCCGAACTTGCCAAGGCCCTTTTGACTTGGATGCTGATCGTTTAGTAAGGTACGATAACCGGTGTCCTTGACAATGGGCTATCCGTGCCAAGTTTTCCACGCTTCAGAGCTTCCTGAGCGCGTGCAGACTAATCTCAGCGGCCGGAAGCGCAAATTGGATAAGAGGGTCAATAATGTCGAGCTCTCTGGATGCGAACTTCTCGAGATGCTGCAGTACAAGTGCGAGATCAAAGAGCCTGGCAAGCCGGATAGTCCTGTACAGTGCTTTGCGATCGAGCGATTGTTCCGGAAGTAAGTTCTCCCCCCACCTGATCCTATAATGGCGCCCCAACCCCAAGTATAGGTAGGTCGATATACCGTGTCACAAATGTTCTGACGTGAGCTATCTGCTGGCATAGATGTAAAGATAAAAAGGGCTCCTTTATGGTCGAGACGACGGCTTGGGAGGGCAAAGAGTATCCTCCAGTGGGACAGAAAAGTGATGATGGAAAACACAGCAAAGACAGGGCGCCGCCTCAGCACTATCACTGGTCATCAAGTTGGCACGCGCCAGACGCAGCACGATAAACCAGACAACTTGCTATTGTCTCCGAAAATCATATATAGCATGCTTACTTCTCAAGGGACAATCTGATTCTCTTGTGAAACTTGGCCAAACGTCATTGTTAGCCCCAACAGTCTCCTGTCAAGCAGAGCATAACTACATCCAGTCATGCATACGACCGACCCAGGTAACGAATAAGAAAAGAAAGATGAAGAAGAAAAAAAATTTAGCTTTCAAATAATGCTCGATTCTGCAAGAATTGACGTGAGGTTGAATATCGTCGCGCTGAGTTACTTGCAGGGTTGCAACAAGTTGATGATGGTATTGCTGGAATGGACTGAGGTGCTCAGCAAACAACAACGTTAATGAACTATTAGTTTACACAATCACCACAAACTGTTACTATTTGCTAGATTTCAGACTGAGATATGAAAATAAATTGCTCCTATCGACCAACAATTGATGAATGGATTTCTAATTATGATTCGACCACACAGGACTGCGCAGTCTATCCAAGATATGCTCTCGACCTCACGAATTGCACTTCGATAGCTCGTTTACCTTTGCCCATGAATATAGAATGCACGAAGACCGTTTCAAATGAAGCGTTGTTGGTATTCTCTTCTCTACCCAGCTACACGACAAACGAAACATCGGCAAGCCGCCTGAACGTATTTATGTGCACTCCCATCTCCAACTGCCCTTGCTTGAATGACAAAGTACTATTTCGGTCCGTTGATGCTTTTACTCGTTCTTCTGAGCAGCTCGGTCCTCTTCGAGCTTGATGTAGTAGTTGTCGCGGGCGTTGGTTCGGGGCATGTGGAAGCCGTACCTGGTTCGCAATGGTGAGCATATAGCCCCAGCCTCGTGTCGTTTCGTCGGTGTATTGCTTACCAGAAGAAGTTGGCCATGACGAAGCCGGAGCCTGCGAGAATGCTAGTCAGCTAGATGCACCCCAACCAACCACATCATCCGAATTGTCAGCCCCTCCAAGAATCCCCCTCTTGAAATATGTAATTGGCAGCTCATGTAGTCCGAATCAATCCGTCAGAGAAATCGACGTACCGAGGGCGATGCTGAGGTCCAGGACGAGGTTTCGTCGGAGCATCTAGCACAGTTGTCAGTCCACGAAAAGCTCTGGTACCGGGAGGCTCAGGCTCCTCTGGCCCGGTCGAGTGCGAAAAGCGAGCCATTGAGTCCAAGGAAACATACACCGGTGATGGGTCGGACGGCCATTGTGATTAGTTTACTTTTGCGAAGCTGTTCGGGCGAAGGAGCGAGGCTTTCGAGAAAGTATAGAGGTGCTGGGGAGTTTCGATGTGGTCAAGCAGTTCCAAGTTGATTCCGAAGATGGGCTGATGTTAATCGCGCTAACACCCGAGTCACGTGCACGTCATTCGGCTGAACAACGGCGAATCATGCCGAAAAGAATCTCGCCCATTGAAACGACCTTCAGTTGGAAGATACGTAAGGAGACAGTGGTCGGTTTGCAGAGCCCGACAATATCTGCTACCATGAGTCTCCGATTTGCCGCGCGGCGGCTGGTAGTATCAGGTACGGCAACGCTCAGTCCGCCTTCTTTGCAACTCAATTGGCCCAGAAGCTACATGGACTAATCAAGAGCCTTTCTCTATAGCCAGGACCGCACACCCTATATCTAGCACACCAGCTCCTGTTTTCTCTGCTACTGTCGGACCCTCAGTACAACGACGGCATAAATGGGCTTCCAATCTCTTCAAAGGATGGGGCAAACCCCGGAATAAAGACGCCGGAGCTTCACCCGCACAGGACCCTACATCGCTGCTCGACGACCCCAAGAGCCGTGAAGAATATTTACAGAAGAGCATGTACAGCGGTGTGGAGGACAACATTTTCCAGGACGAGATCGAAAAAGTCAGTACCGACACCACCCCGGGTGCACCCGAGATCGAGCAAAAGACGAAAGAGAACATGGCCATGGTCGTGGACCCCGATCCTCGAAGTCGAGTGCGTTGGCAGCGCAAGAAGGTTATTCAGATGGTCCGCCGCAACGGCCGTCTGACAAGAGACGAGCGCATTCAGATGTCAGAGCGCCAACTTTTGCACAAGAGCGAGTTCATGCCCACAAGCGTCAAGAAACTCGTAATGCTGGCCCGCCAGATCGCAGGAAAGAGCGTCGACGACGCCATTGTGCAGATGAAATGGTCCAAGAAGAAGATGGCGGCTGAAATTGGATATTACCTTGAGGAGGCTCGAGATTTGGCTATTGCACAGCGTGGTATGGGACTCGGAAAAGTCAACAATGAGATTTTGAAAACTCCCAAGAAGATCCAAACAGTCGATGGCAAATGGATTGAGATTGAGGACCCTACGCGAATGTATATCGCTCAATCGTGGGTTGGGAGGGGCCCCTGGCGAGGGAAGAGAATCGACTACAAGGGTCGTGGACGAATGGGCATCATCAAACATCCCAGCACAAGTATGCCCACATTGGTCACGTATCTGGTTTTGAAATCGCTAACTCATCTCTAGGTCTAACGGTGTTACTCAAGGAAGAAAAGACAAGAATACGAGAATACGAGGAGCGTGTGGAAAAGAAGAATAAGAAGGGACCCTGGGTACATCTCCCCAACCGACCAGTATATGGACAGAGGCCATATTATTCGTGGTAAAACCACGACTGTCATCCGAAATTGAAGTTTAAAAAAGAGACAGAGTCTTCAGGCGTCGCCAGAGGCCACCATGTAATTTCTTATAGAAGCTTGTAAGATATGTACAGTGAAAGGGATGTACACTTGACTGAGATTGAACTTTACGCGCCAGTGCTAACTTGATTTACTTGATGTGGTATATTGACTCTGGCCTTACTCCGTATGTTCATAAAATAATCATCCGACGTCGAGTTGGCTCGCATCTTGTTGCCACTCATGATTAACAAATCCATGAACCTCCGCCCTTCGCGGGTAGAACCATACCGTTCCATAAAGCGATATGTGCTGGTGCCTCGCCGAGTGGCTAATATTGGACTAAAATTAGACATGTGCTGTGCGGTGATTAATAGTGTGCGCATGCGATTGTCATCTGCCATATATTGATTCTGCTGTACTCCGTTTTAAACGCCGATGTCTCCCGTAATTTATCTTTGCTCAAACCATGTGACGCGGCTCCTCGCGAGGAAGCATATCCTCGTATCGATGGGACATTAGTTCGAGGTCATATCCATTCTTCTCGCCAATGGATCCTTGGTCGGGTAAAGGATAACTGCGGTCCCTGGTAGCCATAGGCGGTGACATGCTTGCCATGTTTCCATGAGGGAGATCGCGCTGGTTTTGACGTTTCTTCCAGAAGAAGAAACCTGCGATGCCGAGAAGTGCGAGGATAGCAATTGTAACTCCAATACCAACACCGGCCTTCGCAGCACCAGACATGCCGCCGGAAGATTCTTCCTTCTTGTCTGAGTCGTCATCTGAAGAATCAGAGGTAGCTGCAGCACCAGCCGCCTCGGAGGCTGTTGATGAGCTGGCGGTATCAGTGGAGGAAGCAGAGGCCTCAGATCCAGTGTCCTGTCAATGTTTAGTATTCAGTTTTCTTCGACGCTTAATTTATGAGCCTTCTTACCGTAGGTTCGACGGCACCGGCAGTTTCAGACGTGGAAGTTGCATCGGCAACATCAGTCGAAGTGGCTTCAGGTGCCTTTGAAGTTACCGGGGGCACAGCCGAGCTTGATGTAGCATGAGAGGTACCAGCTGCGGCAGGGGTCTCCGATGTTGCTGCTGCTACTTCGGACGAAGTTGCTACTGCTGCTGCAGATGTTGTCGCTGCGCCTGACGCCGACGTTGCGGCAGCTTCTGGAAGGGCAGGGAGTTGCTGACCTAAGTCATGTCAGTTTTCGCAACTTGGTTCAAGATACTATTGAATCCTGGCAACATACCCACACAAAACCCGTTGCTCAAAAAGCTGGTAATCTCGGCGTCTGCAGCATTGCATGAGGGCGCTCTTGCGCACTCAGCCACACCCTTGATAAAGCTGGGGCTAACACAAATACAACCGGCCTGGGTGGCATCTGCGCAGCCCACAGTTGGCTTTACTGATTCAACACATGTGTTCTGGAGGCCATCAGCACCTATTTCGAGTGAATGCGTAGGTAGTTAGTGATTAAGCGCTAGTTACTTACGATGCAGTCTTGAGCATAGACACCGAGAGTCTGTAAGGCGCCCAGCGCCACGAGAGTTGAAAGAGAAAAGCGCATGTCGGAGGAAGTATGTGGCGAGACAAAGCCCCGCTACTTTGATAGATCGATAGTAGCCAGAGGTGAACCAAGTCGGAAGTTCACAACAGGCTGGCTGGATAAAGAATTGAGTGTGAGAAGTGGTGGCAGGTGCGGTCACAGGGATGGATCGTGACAATGGCGGCTCCAAATTTGCGACAAAAACGATAAAATACCGCAGGTAGATAGATCCAGGAACAATCCCTCAGGAGAATCGGAAAAGAAATCTTCAAATAGAAATGAGAGACGAGTCGGACAATGTCGTGTAATGTAACGGAAATGGCTTGGTCCAACGTGGCACTCGATGCAGCAGATGGAGGGTCCCCGAGAAGAATACGAGTGAATGAAGAAGGGTTACGGATTTGTTGTCGTCGGTTCAGCCCAGAGTGAACAATTCCGAAAGGAAAGTGGAAAAGAACAATAAGGTAACGTAACGTAACGTAAGGTAGGTAAGGAAAGAAGAATACGAAGAATTGACCACAAGGAATGACTGAATGGTGAGATAGCGAGGGACACTTGAGAGAGTGAAAGAGCCCAACGCGCAAAGGTGGTCGTGAGAAGTCGATTCGAGTCGAGTCAAGGTTGAGATCAGGACAAGACGAAAGCAGAATAGAAACGAAGCCGTTTGAGAACGGAAGAAAGAAAGGTGGGTTCAGGTGACGACAACAGCCAAAGGGAGAGAAAGTAAAGCGTTGAATTGAATTGAAATGAGATGAGATGGGACGAAGTAAGGAATGAAGTGGACGGGGAACTGGGAACTGGGAAAAGAACGGGGGACCCAGTAAGATTGCACTGAGGTCAGAAAGAATGTAATGTTAGTAGTAGTATCCGTAAGGTAAGGTAGGTAGTTAATGCAATGCAAACCCTCGCTCTTTCATGGGAGGGAGCAACAAGCTGAAGAAGTACGGATAGAACAGAGTAATAATTAATAATGCTTCATTCATCAAGCACAAGCAAGCTTGGTCCAGTGCTGTTACAGACAAGGGCGACCCAGCTCGATGGGTATCAGATCCTTCCAGGGGATGATCTAGCTTTACATAGACACGAGGGAGCCCTAGAAATAGCAATGATGATGGCAGCTCAGCTCTCTGCCGGTCTGAGTGCAGTCTGCCAATTGGATGCAATGCATGTTGGTTGTTTCTTCGCCCTCCGCCCTTGATTTTCTAACACTCTTTGTACACAAAACGCCTTGTGCATGCATGTGTGTGCCCCTGGCGGCTTGGCCTCCTGCAGTGCCAGGGACCGGATCCAACATCATAAAACGTCAGTTCCCTCTCTGTTCCCAAAAGGGGGGGCCAATCATCCCCCAAGTGCACAAGCAAGCATAGCAAGATTGCCATTCAGGGCTGCGAGAGCGTTGCTAGCGGCGGCCGGGGGGGGGAGGGCTCCTGGCGCCAGGTACTAGCGCCAGCTATCCCAGATTCCTTAGCTCACTTGGCCTGTTTACCGCCCAATGGCCATCTCCCGAGATGGTCTCGCTTGTTTCATCTGACTACCTTAGGTATGTATTTTTCTGCCTGTATTGCTGTGTACCTGAGGGGACTGAGAGAAAACCACACATTGGACATGTTCTTCTCTGACTCGTCTTGATGCTTCGTTAGGTGTGACTTTCTGAGATAAAGTGCCCATGTGCCAATTGCGCGCGCGAGATTTCAGCTCCTTTGCTCTCTTCTTTGTCTTGTCTCCCCTCCTTTACGTGACAGACAGTCTTCTAGCGTCTTGGCCCTATTGGGCCTGGTGCACCTATCTCAAACCTTATGCGGTTTGATACGTGGTGACTACTAATGTTAGATTTTCTCTGACAGACACGAGACCGACACTTTGCCGTAGCACAACCGATAATACGCAGACAAAAATTACCCCCAGCCAGTGCAATGCGCTTCTTGAGGAGAGTACGCTTGCATTGACAAGAGCAAGCTGAGCTGCAGAAAGGAAAAAAACTCATCAAAGAGCGCCATTTACATATACAACCCACTTCAAAACTCGTGACTTTTATTGGGATGGGCAAGCTGCATCCCAGCAAGCCCCAGAACAATCCGAGCAAACCAACCAGGACCCAACGCTCGAATCCATGCTAGACTACGGAAATGCTTCTTTGATAACGCGTCTTGTGCGGGATGAACGCCGCAGTGCACCCGGGCTATTGTGGACTGATTACGGATAGAGAGAGGCAGCAGCTTGACCCCCATAGTTGACATCGAGCCAGAAACAATTCTTGACGATAGTCGCCGTTCTGAGTAGTGGAGAGTAGAGTCATCTCAGTCGGGACCCCTCACAGCTTCTGATGGATGTGGTCATCTACTAATGCCATGCATAGTATGGGTGTCAACAAAGCCAGCTGCGAATCAAAGACCGTGATCCAATATGGCGAAGCTGATACATCACGCGCCTTGCCTTTGCGTCACAGAGGCGGTAGGGGCTGGTGCTTCTTCTCTGTCAGATTCTTTGTACAGCCACACATGGCGAAACAGCCGCGGCACATCCACCTGTCACTTGTGCGACAATAACCTGGAGGCGGATCGGCCCCAGGGATTCACCCACGTAACTTTTGACAATGGTACAGTACAAAGGAATCTAAATTGTGCTTCTAGCTCCCTGAACATGGCCGGCTCAACCTCGATGACATCAGGGAGGAAGAATTTTATGTTTAGACACAGCCCCGAGCCTTTTCAGTCTGTAGGTTTATTACTGGACGTTAGATTCAAAGGTTGCTAGTACCGTTATTTCATCCACAGATTTGTGTGCTTGTCTGTGCAAATGGGTACTTCATCCAGACCGCTGAGTTGAACTGTTCTTTTTAGCGTGAAACATTGGCCTCAATATCTATAAATTCAAAGGAAAGAAACACAAGAAAGTTCAAGAGCACACCTTATAAGAATGCTTTAGGCATGTTTGAATGAGGAGGCATCCAGCGTTGAGACCGTGTTGCTAAACTTTCCATACCTTAACCCTTACTCTTTCTCTTTGATCGAAAGTGCCTAATAAGCTGTCATTGAGCACACGTTTGCCTTGATCAAACGAACATAAGAAAATATGCTCTTTATACAATGGGATAATGCTGAGCCGAAGCCATTCCGCTAGAAGTCCTGCAGTTGTATCACTTGATGGCGATGGAGCCTTCGTAAGTTGCACTGAAACAATTGCCTTTCACAACGCCCTGAGGTTTCCGTTCATCTGCAATTACTTATTGTCCACTTGGACATATCGTGATTTCAATTATAGGCTTATGATGTTAGGCAGCAATGTACTCAGATATGGAAGTCATGTAGGCGCTGCCTAGGTACAGTAAACCACCTTTCGACGAGGTAAGTTATTTTGTATAAGTAAGAAATCCGTCTTCTCTAACATATATTCTTGATTAGTGCAGTACATGACCGTGGAATAATCGTCTTCGTCCTCGTTAAT